AGGGTCCCATTTAAAATTTTTGGTCACAGTGGCCTTGTGACGTCATTTATGACTATTGCGTCACCTGTTATGACCAGTTAAGAAGCCTACATCCGTTTATTTCCACCCTCCAAATTTCATTATTAGAAGTATACCCGTTCAAAAGATACGAGGGGGGGAGGGGACTTTTGACTAGCACTGTATATACCGAGTCACTTACTATCTATTCTATTGTGATACCTTTCATATAATCAGTCAAATCTTTTTTGAATTGAAACAGGTTTTTATTATTCTTCACATTTTGGGGAAGTTTGGGGAAAATGCACTTGATGTACAATGTAACCACTTTGCATAGAAAATATATGTTTTAAACCAATTTACCTGGATCTCTATACAAAAAAAAGTATTCATTTAAAGGATTTTTTTTACTGATTCAGTATGATTAAATTTCAGTAATAAAATCGAATGTCTCATGAAATTTATTGTAACTTAAAGATATATAACCAGAAATTGATTAAGAGATTAGGTTAAAGTTAGTTGCATTTCAGTTTCTCAGCATTCATGACACTTGTTCATTTGAATGTTCATCAAACATTTAGCCGTCGTCATGTCAAGAAATATTTCTGGGAAAAGACAATAGGTGTTTTCTGGCGTTCAGTCGTATTCGAGCATATATTCAAAAACGATTCGTAGTGACGTCATCAATATTAAGATTTGCCATAATAGAATTATTCAAATTGTGTCAGATGTCAAATTCAATAATAAAAAAAACTTTTCAATTTCTTCTAACCTCAATTAGAATCGGATTTGTGCATACAATTTTTTTACATAAATATTACAAATATAGCTGAATTTTTGAAACCAGTGTACCAGAATTCTTTTTTTTTATTCAAAATATGGACCAACAAGAAAAGTGTTAAAATCGACATCTAAGTAATAATATCCCAACTTCATTTTGAACATCCTTGCAACGTATTTGATAAAAAGTTTTCAGCACATTAAAAACTATAACGATCAAAATAAAGCAGAAACTAACAACTGACGTAACATACCGTCAATTTCCGTTTCAAAATCAACCTCATGCTGGTTTTGAATCATTATGAATAAGTTTCGAATGATAGTTGATGTGATGTCATCATTTCAACGCCAGAATGAATGTATTTGAATAACAGACGAATACGTTTTGAATACATGAGCGCCAGAAAACGCCTACTATGATTTAGTTATTTTTTAATTCATTTCATGAATACTACAGAGATTACTTGTATATTTTGTGAGACAATGCCTTTTAATGACTTGCCACCCCTGATTAGGCTGTAGGTAAAACGTAAGTCACTTTATTGTACAGAAAAAAGAATTGACTACTGAAGAATTGATGAGAACATAAAGGATTTGGAATAGGTAAGTGCAAGAAGATTGTTTTTCAGGGTAGGAATAAGTGCTATAGAGCTTGTTACTTATTTTATTTGTATTTTCTTATATATAAGTTGAAATATTTTTCATTTCTATTGCTGTTTGAATTAAGGCGTTACCAAGAGCAATCAGTCTTAATCTACTGAAAACACTTTTTCCTCACCAGAACAAATATGCTGTCTGGTGACGTGTGATTCACAAATCAAGTTAGCATTTTCAAGGTATGACTGCAACATCTCCTGATGATGCTTAGTTAGCGAAGTTCGCGTCGAGAAACAGCATTTTTGTTCTGGTGAGGAAGAAATGTTTTCACCTGATTCATTTTATGCCAGAGGTTCCAAATTCTACTCTTATCAAGCGGGCGGTTTTAGTTCAAGACATGGTAGCGATAGCAAGTACAGTATCCAGTGAAATATGCAAATAACCTTGAACCCATTCCAAAGCTAGCCTGCAATGGAAGGACTTGCACTATCAATGCTAGCAAAATTGTATTAATTTCAGTTACCAAGCAAAGTATTCATTCAAGAGTCACACAAGGACAGGACATAAACACCATAGAAAAAAGGAAGAAGCTTCAGGTGCAAAAATCAAGCAGTTGTTGGTGAGACAATCAGTTGACAAAGATTTACCGAATTCTTTTGGGAAAACTATTGAATAGCCAAGTTTTAGCAACAATTTCTATCAACAACTAACTTATTCGGTTTAACAGATGAGAAAAATATATATAGGTTGGGAAAAGCTGTGAAAGGGAATGCTACATGATCAGTTGAGGGATTGCTATCTAGTTCATCAATCAAACTGATTATTGACATTTTGATCAGTAGATACAATCGAACAGATTAGATTGTGAAGAGTCCGGTCAATAAAGCAAAAAACTTTCCTATGATGAAAAAATAATTGATTTCAGGTCTTTAACACATTTTGCAGAAGATGAGTCGAATCTAGTGGTTACCCTGGAAACCATGGACATGCAGAAATATTTGGATTGCCCTCAAAGTCTGGGGGAGATTCTACAAAATTTACCCCACAACATGCAGCTTTCATGGGGTGAAAACGTACTTAAAAAGAATGGTGAGAGCAATTTAATATAATTTAAAAAGTGGCTGCGGAGAAAGTCAGAAGCAGCAAGCTACACTCAATCTATGAATGTGGGTAAGCCTTTTACAATTCCCCTCAAAATCAGCCTTATAAAGAGAGATTCAAAACAGCTCTTGTCACTTCTCAAGAAAAGAGTACTTCAATTCACAATTGCATCATGTATAAAGAGAAACATATGAAAGATAAATGCAAAACTTTTTTTGGATCTATCGATAGACAAAAAATATGATTTTGTAATAAGTGATGGTATATGTTTTTGTTTTTTTAGAACATTTCATGAATTCCAATTTTGTTGCAACAAAAAGGAATGTGGGGTGAACAACTGTGAGAAAATACATCATAAAAGTCTTCATAATGACACGTTCGATAAAAATAAGAGAGTCTATAAATAAATGCTTAGGCCACAAAATCATTCTGTACAGAAATTTAATAATAATAATTCATTTCCCAAGAGAGAAATATTGAATTGGAATAGTCAAGTCTAGTAAAAAGAAACATACAATATCACATTCATAGCTTTGAAATACAAAGACTCGCGGTTAAAAATATATAAAAACATATAAAGTATTTACTTGATGTATATCAGAATTCTTCACAAAACTATCTCTATTCTTGAAAATATAGAGACATAATTCAAAAATATATAACGATGGAAGTGTTAAGATTTCATATTTGCTGAAAAATTTTTACAGCTAGCTCTCGGTACTCGGGCTAATTAAAAATCGCTCCGGTGATAAGAAGATCTTCTCAGAATGAACTTGAGATTTACTTATTATTTGATGAAACTTCATAGTGACTCTTCTTGATCAAGATTTGGCAGACAAGTTGAACATTGTTGGTGAATAAACAGAGTTAGGTTTGACGTGAACCCACAAAGACACTTGTGAGAGATTATGATGGAAAAAGACTGAAAGAAAAATGGAGCCATCTGGAATATATAGATTTTGCTAGTATGGCTCAAGCAAAACCGCAATTGTTGATAGGACAAGATAACTGGGATCTAATCACTAGTCGGGAGGTGATTGAAGGTCCTAAAAACTTGCCAGTATTATCAAAAACCAAACTGGGTTAGATACCACATGAAAATTTGAGAGTTCAGAGGTAAACTTAATAACAAAATTGTTATTTCCCACATTAAGATGATGAAGAATTACATGAAGAAATCTAAAATTATTTTTCCACGAGTCATTTGGAGTCAAAATATCTGAAAATAGTGCATGCCATTAACCACCTTCAAACAAACATCTGAAAATAGATCGATACATTTGTAAGACAAAACAGCAATCTAAATAATAGAATCAGTTTCAAGAAGAATAGGTGATGGAAAGCGCTGAGAAACTGGTTTGTTATGGAAATATGATAGTTTAACTTTACCACATAGTAAACATAAAGCTCTCCAAAGGATTCAGTATCTAGAAACAAGAATAGCTAAAGATTTGAAATTTGCTATACATACAGACAAAAATAGAATATTTAGAAAAAGACTATGCAGAGAAAGTGATAGAAACAAGTAAGGTATATTTGCCAGATTCAGGAGTTGTGAATGAAAACAAATCTAGCAAATTTAGGTTCGCATTTAATGCGACTGCCAAGATGGATTAATATGTTTAAACTATTTTTTAATTACTCGGACCTGATTTATTGAATTCTCTTGTTAGAAGATCGTATTGAACGATTTCTATGGAAAAATCATTTCAATGAAGAACCCAGCACCTACGAAATGAAGGTGTTGATTTTTGTGTGCTCGTGGCTTACCTTTTTCGGCACAATATATACAAAATCAAAATGCATTAGAGTTCCATAACGAGTCTCCTCAAACTGTAGAAGAAATAGTAAACAGGCATTATATGGGTGATTATCTTAACAGTGTTTCCACGGAGGAAGAAGCTTTTCGTCTTATGAAGCAAGTCATTTTCATCCAAAGACAAGAAGAACTTGAACTAAAGAGGTTGGGAATGCAATTCGAACGAAGTTTGTGGACATATTCGAGAACTTAGGTGATGAAAAACTTTTGAAAAAATGGAGACAATTTGTGGCAGAGAATTCTTGGTTTGAAGCGGAATCCATCATCCGACCATTTGGCGTTTTCTTTGAATATTTTGAAATGATAGATATGATTTCAAAGGGAAAAAACCCAACAGAAAGGCAGATTCTCAAAATAGTGACGTCATTTTATGATCCTCATTGAACATTGTCGTTAGAGCAAAAATTCTTTCACAGGATATATGGAGAAGTGGCATAGGCTTGGAAGATGAAACAACTCATAATCAAAATATTAAATTGAAGAAACGGATTAATGCTTTTGAAAAAATTGGAGATCTCAAGATACCTAGGTGTTATGCATTGAACTTTCTGGCTTTAGTTTATAGCTTTACATCTTTTGCGACGAGAGTGTATGTCTCTTTGGTCATGGCTAGGACGCAATTAGCACATCTGAAACCCATAACAATTCCATGCTCAGAACTTCAAGCTGCTGTAATGTGTTGAAGATTAGCAGCATTCATTAAGAGTCAATTAAACATTCTTTTCTGGCTCAAAAACGGTTTGGTGTTGATCAATACCAAGAACGTTCAAAACATTCATTTTGTATTGAGTAGGCAAGATTCGGGAGAACACAAAAGTCCCTGACTGGGCAATGGATTTTTCGCAATCTGAACATTGCAGATGAAGCTACTTGATACAAAGATATAAATCTACAAAAAAGGTAAGGAATTTTTATATAGTAAACAAGAATTTTGGCCAATGAAATAAAAAAGGAAAGACAAGGACAAATAATTCAAAAAAATCCAGAGACCTTTGAACTAAAACACAAATATATCCTACTAATAGTCTCAGATAAAATTGAAAATCTACCAGACAAAATTTTCTGACTACACGATGTTGATAAGGAGCACAGCTTATGTTTTCAGATTTTAACATAACATCAAGCAACTTGGTAAAATTCTACAGAAACAAGAATTGACAACTGAAAAATTGATGAGAACATAAAGGATTTGGAATAGGTAAGTGCAAGAAGATTGTTTTTCAGGGTAGGAATAAGTGCTATAGAGCTTGTTACTTATTTTAACATTGAAGGGCAAAGCAAGAGAAACTGTCAAAGCTCTTCTCATTTCCCCGAGAAACGTCTCCAAAATTATCAAGATGCTAGAAATGAATTTTGGTAGACCGGAGTGGATAATTTTGTCGCTGAGAGAAAAGGCAAAAAAAGCTGGTAACATTAAAGAAGACAAGTGGGAGTCATGGATTTATTTTTCTAATGTTGTAAATAACATGGTAACCACAATGACAAACGTCAATTCTCATCTGTATCTCTACAATCCAGATCTGTTGACAAATTTGATAGAAAAGCTTCCTACAATGCAAAAGTTTTCATGGGAAGAATTCGAGCATCAACGTGATTTGAAAGGAATACAAACATCGTTAGAAGATTTTTCTGAGTGGTTTGAAGAAGAGCCCAACTCGATGTCCGCTTTTAGTAATCCTTTTCAAAGAAATAGTCTATCTAAGAATCCTATCAGAAGAGAAACTGTCATGATTTCAAAAAGAGATAGTTTTTCGGAAAATAAAACAAGTGAGTGCATTTTTTGTAAAAAGCTTGACCATGTATTATCAAAATGTACGAAATTCTCTGAATTATCAGTGAATGAAAGACGAAAGAATGTTCTCAACCTCAAATTGTTTCCTCTGCCTCAAATTTGGGCATATGTCGAATAAATGTTTTTTGAAATCGAGGTGTGGTAAGGATGGTTGTAGACGTAGACATCATTCTCTACTTCATATTCCATGCAATGAACAATCACAAAATGAACTGCAAAGCCTAAATAATATTGTGAATAATCAACAACCACAAAATGAATCGCAAAGCCCAAACAATCTTGTGAGTCAGGCCAATTTCTGTGCTAGTTTCCATAGTAAATCTACAGGCAATCTTTGATGAAGGATCAACCTGTACCATGATTGAGGAAGACTTAGCTCACAGATTACGACTTCCAAGACCGGTTGTTCCACTCTGTTTCCAATGGACTAATGAAATAACTCACTACGAAGATCATTCACGAATGGTTTCTATAGAAATTGCTGCTTCTTAAAACCCACAAAAACTCTTCGCGCTGAAACAAGTCAGAACCGTGCAGAATTTGCGACTTCCATCTCAAGAAATAGATGTTGATAACTTGAACGAAAAATATCCTTATTTAGACTGTGATCTATTGGCATCAATAATTAATGCTAAATCGGAGCTGTTGATCGTTCAGGATAATTGTGGCCTTATAGTACCAAGAAATATCATCCAACCACATCTGCATCAGCCCATTATGTCTCAATGTAAATTAGGATGGACAGTGCATGGTCCTACCAGTGAAACTGAAACCTTTCTTTCCCATGCAACTCTGTTGCAGACATTTTAATGATGACAAGCTGCATGAAATGGTGAAAGATACTTTTCGTCTTGAAGCTTTTGGTGTAAAAATACCAGACAATGTTATCAAATCAATCGAAGACAAAAGGGCTGTGGAGATCATTGAAAGAACTCTGAAGAAAGTCGGTAATCATTACGAAATAGGGCACCTATGGAAACGTGACAACCTTACTCTACCGCCTAGTAAAACTAATGAAAAATCCCTGATGAAATCTGTGATGGAGAGAAAGTACCAACTAAAAGGGAAGTACTGCGCACGGTTATGTCAGTATTTGACCCGCTTGGTTTTCTTGCACCTCTCATGATATCAAGAAGATTCCCGATTTTCGTAGCTTGTCGACTTGAAGAAATTCACGAAGACTCTGATATGTCGCAATGGCATTGGTTACCATCTGAATTGAATGTTGCAGATCGGGCGATGAAAGAAAGGAAAGATATCGATTTTTTGCCAGGAGGTGAGTGGTTTTCTGGGCCGCATTTTCTAAAATTGCCTGAAACTGATTGGCCGGAAGAACCACATTGCTCCAATGTAGACAATCTGATACTACTCTTACATATTAATGATAGTCTAGTTCTTCCGATGGACTTCCCTAATATATCCAGATTCTCGAAATTTAATCGACTCATTTGATCTATTGCTTGGATTCTACATTTCAAAAAAGTTGTCAAGATTAGAAAACTGTCTAGGCCGACCGACTTAATTTTGAGTGCAGATGAAATCGAAGATTCCATGAAGTTATGGATCAGAAAGTGTCAGGAAGAAACGTTTGGAGAAGAAATTTCCATTTTGAAAAGAAAGCTATTTCTACCAAAGTCTAGTCGCTTATATAAATTATCTGCCTTCTTGGACGAATGTTTTATATTACGCCTGGGCGGTAAGATTCCAGATACGAAAGAACTGGATATATCATTTGAATCGCGAAACCCTATTCTGTTAGATCCAAAGCACAAATTCACAGAGCTCCTCATAGATAAGTATCATCAAGAATCTAAACACATAGTTTTGGAGACAGTGGTCAACAATCTTCGTTCCAAATATTGGATTATAAATATACGAGTAGATGTGAAGAAGAGCTTCAGAAATTACCAAGAATGTAAAAATCGAAATTGCAAACCTCTTTTTCCAGAAAAGGGTTTGTTGCCTCCCGAGCGGTTAGGAGCATTTTCTTTCCCGTTTTCATGAGACCTTTCACCAAAGTGTGTATTCTTCCAGTCAGGAGTTGATATACTCACCTTGCAAAGTCTGCTTGGGGGTGGAGAATGTTACTTATTTCATTTGTATTTTCTTATATCAGTTAATTGTTCATCACTATGTAAAAGTTGTTTGATGAATATCATAGGTTGTTTGAGAATTAGACAGATGAAAAGATAATAACTGTCAAGCAAAGTCATTAAAGGCGAAATTGTTTGAATTTGTTTTTAATTTGATAAGTATTTTAAGAGCTGTAGTTGGAAGGAACATCATTAGGTCCACCCTAATAAAGATATATTAGGAAAGAAGTCTTCAGAAACTATTTGGTAGTTGCAAGAGTAATGATCCCAAGTGTTTTAAGACAAACTCATATCTGATGAAGGAGCCCTATAAACACATATTATGTTTAATATTTCTGTTTAATATATAATGCAAAATTCAAAGTTTTTTTTCTAGGAGCAATGTATTATTTTGATGAATTGATCATCATTGCAACTTTATCAACACATAATTATTATTAGGAAGCCATAGAAATTTGTTGGCTAGGGCATAGTGACAATGAAGACTTATTATGGAGATAACTTTAATGAAAATAAATCAAACTGAATTATCATTTCATAAGATTTGCTGAAGGATTTTTATTAATTATCCATTAGTCTTGAATCCTGAGATTTCAAATTGAATTTCATGTTACAACTCAAAATTTATCATAAACGCCTTTTGAATCTATACTATAAAACTTACCTCCTGGAACTGCAAGAGGTTAACGTCGTACTGTTGAATTTGCATTTGTAGAGCTGCATTGTCTTCCATAAATTTACGAGTTTTCATAATCTCAGCATTAAGTTCAGCTTGTAGTTGTTGGATCTTTTGACTGTTGACTTGGAATCTATTGTTGGAGGCTTGCAGCTCAATCTGCTTATTCTGTACTAATTCTTCTAATCCTCGAATTTTTTGTTGGAATTGTGATTTTTCGGACAGTTGTTCAGCTCGAACCTCTCGCAGTTTTGCTTGGGCCCCAGCAAGAGCTTCCTGTTCCTCTGCAAAAGCTTTCTCTTTCTCGGAAAGTTGTTTCTTCAGTCTCTGTATCGGATCAGCTTTGCCCTGGAAAGTAGTAAATGGTTATATTGGAAAACTGTATACTAAACTACTCAGTTGAGTGTAAGATTACCTCAGTCCATTCGTCTATAACAGCCGGGGCCTCAAGCTGCTTGTTGAGTAATAGATCAATGAGCAATTGAACTTCAGTCTTAGACAATTCAGCATTACGCACCGAATTAATGAGTCCATCCCTTTCAGCAGCTGCGTTAATGGTGGAAAAAATCAACTTCATTAATATATATTAAATTTCAAAGAAGTATTTGTAAGGAAAATATATAAGCCAACATGGAAAATGGGTTTATGATGCACTGTTTGGACTGTTTGGAAAATGGGTATCAACAACAAGACATTACTCACTCAATTGCTGTTTAGTGTTGAACTCGCTTTTCTTTTTCTTCTTCTCTTTTCCTGGGTTACCAATGACCAATCCGTTGGTCTGTGGAATAGCAGACACTGTCTCAACTGGTTTTTCCGCTGCCTCTTCAGGTTCATCAGCTAACACAGGTACACTCTGCTTGGGGTTAGATTTAATGGCGTCGGTGACTTGTTTGGAGTTTTTCTTATTCTTGATCAAAGGAGCTGACTCCACATTTTGTTTTTTCTCTTTGGTTAATTTTTCTTTGACTATTTCTGTCTTGAATATGTCATCTCTCTATAAATAGAATTTCTGTCAGTAGCACCAACAACTATCTCAATGTGAGTTGTGACAGCAGTGAACAAAGCCAAACAAAAAAAAATGGTTATAACACAAATACTATATAATTAATAATTGCATATTGTTGAAAAGTCACTGTTCAAGTGTAAAAGGGCTAGACGATTACGAGACTACTTTTCTTACTACAGTTAATACATTAAACAAGTTCCGATATTAAAGAATTTACCAAAATTACAATCTTCATAAACACCAAGATATTTTTTGTCTCAGTTGGAAAAGTTAGTATTTACCTCAAAAATTTCAATTGAGATAAAATATGTCTACATTGAAGCTGAGGCAGTTACCTCAAAGTATACATATTTCATGTTTTATAATATTCAAAGATTTTCTTAAAGCCATGCATGTTTACAGATATGTTAGAAAACTCAGTAGAAGGAAAACTTGCTAAAATTGTCATAATCAATAATATCGGAATTTTTACCACGATTCAATAACTTACACTGTTTGCTCTCATTAGTTCAAAGTCGTCTTTAGGAACATTTTCCTCAAAGTGATTCACAATCGGAGTATCAACGATGTCTAAAATGACTCTCTCAGGTGACTTATCTTTTCTCACAAGAATCGGACGTACTTTTTTTACTTTTTTCGGCTAAAATACAATCACATTTACAACCTACTAAATGATAGATCGTTACTGAATCTCTCAACTTTTTCTCTAGTTCACAAAATTAGTTTCATATAAAAAATATACAAGTGGATCTGATCCTATATTATGTTATACACATTTATATGGGTATAGGTTTATTATTTATTTTTGTAACTTATAGATTAGCATTTTATAATCTTTTTGCAGCTAACAATCTGTCCTCATAAAAGCAATTCTTAGAAAATTTCAGAACAAAGAACCCTCACTTTTCGAATTAATACCCCAAAATTGAAAATTAATGTCTCACCTTTGACTGCTCACATTGGTTACCGTTTTGAAATAACAAATAATTTATTAGCTACTTTGGTACTAAAATGTATACATTGTAGGTCAATCTAATAACTTAAATTGAAAAAGGAATATTTTTAGGAAAGTTGAGTTTAGTATCAGTTGAGCAAATAAATTTATATCGCTAATAATATATTTGAGAATGTCTGGTAGTTTATTATACAACATGATAATATCGTACAGTGGAGGTTTTTCAAAATGTTTATGCTTTGGTAGTGCAAGAAATTGCTGTGGCAGGTATTGAGATTGTGTATTGCAGAATTTTTCTCATAGTTCATCAAATTGGCACTTGAAAACTTCATCCATTTTATTATACATATATTGAAGGGGCAGTCAAGATTTTTTCATGTGAAACAAATCAAAAACAACCGGTTCTTGTGAAGGAAGTGATAGACATGAAATCAGATGAAAGTCATGAATGAATACAAAAAATTATTGGAATCAAATGCATAAGAACAAAGTTAACACATACCCGCTACATAATTAGATGAGTTTAAAAAATTAAAATATTTCAAGCGAATTGAATAAGTGCTCATAATCTACTGATTTTGAAAATTATATCATTTCTTTTTTCCATGAATACAATAACTATCAGTAATTCCATTATTCATGGGATATCTCAAAATCTGTCTGATTTCTCTACGAGTCCTCAAAAAAAATTATTGAATCAAACTTCACAAAAAGATTTTTTAATGGTCCAATTCATCTTGTATCAGTGAATCTAATGAGTAACAGTTGATATTTTCCTCTTTTTATGTGAAACTGTATAGTCAATAACTGTAACAGTGATTTTTCTAAATTCCTCTACAAATTCACATAATGAATTGAATTTTTGATATTAGAATTGAAATCTTTGTATAACATATCACATAATAAACTAAGTAAGGTTTTCAGTATGTGTCATTGTTTTTCAAAACTACTGACTAGGATTAGTTTTGAGTAAGTTGTGAGTGCATCTTCTGAAGTGAAAATACTCATTTTTGTGTTTTTGTATAGCATCATGAAAATGTTCAGAAACTTATTTTTAACGGTTTCTATACTTTATATATAAATGAAAACTCTTCATTAATTGGCGGAAGTACCTCAGTCAATAGCCAGTTGAGCAAAATCGTGATTTTGTTCAGTAAACTACGATTCTTATTATTCCTCATTAATTTTTTTAATAATTACAAAGATGACTTGCTGTTTTCATTTTCCTAATAATAATACATTGATTAGGAACTGAGTTATACACTCCCACTTATTTTCACCGTGAAGATGAAATAATTTTAATTTTTGTATAATTCCTCAACAATTTTTAGTGAGATCTCAGGTCAAAAACTCTGTATTCTGCAAAAACTTGTTACAAGTTTTTCGTATTCTTGAAGACACCTTCAACTGAACATAAAAATACATTTTCAGCCAGATAGTGAAAAAAGAATTGTAATTCAAAATAATAAATGATTGATAAAAACATAATTTTTACCTTTGTAACTTCCTTAACTAATGAAACTTTTACATCTTCTTTGTCAGGTACCTCTTCCGGTGTTTCCTTGAATTCAACATGGGGTTTGTTAGGTAAAGAGTTCTCTTTATTGCTGTCTACATGTTCAGATTCATCAGTTTCATTCTCTTGAGGTGATGTTTTTTCTTTAGACTGAAAAAGTAATATTTATTTTATTGAAAAATAAATCTGTTTTAAAAAACGGTTACATAATTACAAGCTGAAATGAAGTCATTCTATTTTTAATAAAATGTGAAAGTGGAACCTCTGGCCTATAAAAAATCTAAAAATAAACACTTTTCCCAATCACCAGAAATGAAATACTCTTCTCGACGCGCGTTTCACCACTAAGTTGGCGTCTTGATCTCCTGCTTGCTAACAATTTTTTTTAATTCAATTCACCATTTTGACATCTTCAAAGGTTGGATGTGTGAGTGAATGTGTTTTCTATTGCAAATTTACAAGAAAATTATTGTGGATAGAAGTTCATGCCAGACATTATTTTTAGCATTGCAAAAAGAGGCTAGGAAAAATTTTGCCTGCCAACACTTGTTAAAATTTGAATAGCTTTCTCCTACAAAATAAAAGTATTCGTGGAATGGGATAAATACACAACTGTATTATAAATTTTTTAATTTTGTAAAATTCTTGCTTTAAAGTAGGTTATTTATTTGAAAAAATATATCGTTATCCGTTTATGACTGTAATATCACAGATGAATATTACTGGAAATTTTTCCTTACACCAAACCGTTATTTTAACACCTTGACACGTGTTTCGAACATCAAGTGACCATCTTCAAGAGGAAGATCAACAGTTTGATCTTGAAAATGATCACTTGGTGATCGAAACACGTGTCGAGCTGTTAAAACAACGGTTTGATGTTGGGAAAAAACTCCAGTAATATTAACCTATATAGTATACTATTAGGTATTGGTCCACCATCGTTACTCATATTATCACGTTTACTTATTTCTACACTCTCATAGGCATCTAGATGCCTATTGTTGTTAACTTGTCTAATCTTAATGAGCTAAAGTCTATGGAATGGTTCTGTTGCAAAATATGATGGGCGACTGCTGATTTTTCAGGTCTTCCATATTTTAAGTGTGCTAAATGTTCCTTATATCTTATTTCAATAGATCTTTTTGTCTGTCCATTATATTTTGCATCGCAATCCTTACATTTAATTTCGTAAACTCCAGACTTTTCCGAATTCTTGACTCAGTCTTTTGGATTTTCTAAAAGACTGTAGTGTATGACTTGTTTTAAAAACCACCTTCATACCTAGTTCCTTGAAAATCTTTCCAAAGTTCTTCGTGTATTGGTTGTATGGAATCAAGATATATTTATCTTGGTTTTCATTGTTTTTAAAAGTCAACATTTCGTTTATTCTTAACCTAAACTTTTTCGTCCTTATTATATCAGCTTCAATACCACTCGAGAAACCTTTAGTGGCTGCTATTTCCTGTATTGTACGTTTTCCTTTTGTGAACTTCTCATGTGGAAGAGAAAAAGTCAAAAGATAATGCACTAGAAAATTCAGCCCAGCACGTTTTTGCTGTCCACAGTGATGTGAACTGTCAGGAATATACCTGTACGTGCTTGTCTCCTGTCTAAATACATCGTATTCTAGCCCTCCACATTGGCTCCTCATAACTAAAACGTCAAGAAATGGAAGTTGTCCTTTATTTCGTGAATTTTATTGATGGAAATCTGTTTTTAAAAAAGGAACAAAGTCCTCAATATTTGATTTTTTGTTATTGAATATTGCGAAAACATCATCCACATTAACAATGGCATGCCTATGAGAGTGTAGAAATAAGTAGACATAATAATATTATGAAAAACGATGGTGGACCAATACCTAATAGTATACTATATAGCTTGTTGAAATAATGTTCCAATTATTAGATTAACATGACTATTACATAAGGACACATGGTAAAATTAATTTAAGACTAGTAGATAAGGCAATACTGTGAAATTAATTTTATAAAGCTTGGTCAAATAATATTTCAATTATTAGATTTACCTGACTATAACACATTGGTTACATTGTGAAATTAATTCAAGGCACTCAAGACGCAGGTACCTAAAAGAGGTACCTATTATATAAATAAGGAAGAAACTTTGTAAATAGGATTAGTTTGATCTTCCTCTTGAAGATGATCACTTGGTGATGATCGAAACACATGTCAAGGTGTTAAAATAACAGTTTCTTGTTGGGAAAAAACTCCAGTAATATTAGACGATTCAAATGAACTATTGAAAGCACTGGACAAAAGTGATTTGTTTTTCTACTAAGAACTTGCTTAAAAAAAGTTGAATTATTAAATTATTTTCTGGTAAATTGCTATAAGTTGGAAAAACAGCTACTACGAACCTCTAACAATTTATCATGATGACGAAGTCACAGATTTTTATTTATGCACAATTGAATCTGACGATACAGGATTTGTTCCATTCATTTTTAGAAGAGAGAAATAATAACTTTTGCATTAAGTAGAGGCGATGACATCTGCCTTTGTGAAGACGCCTTCTATGGGGTAAACAAAACATTCGATACACAAATATCAAAGGTAAACGAAACGGTCTCAAAGCTTTAACCTCAACCAATAAACTAGATTCATTCTCTGTATATTGATTTTGTATCACTTCAAGAGAAGTATGAAATGTGGTTGTCAGTCAACTACCAGTTTTGGTTCAGTTTGTGTTTTGTCAATTATTGATTTTTTATACTTTAACAGCTATTTTCTCAATTTTTAACGGGATACTAAGAAGTAGAATTCGAGTTTACATAATTAAAAAGTGAATATATGTCAATAATAATAATAATAAATCTTCATTTTTCAGTTAAACAGCATAGGTGTATTATAGATACATCAAAGCAGTAACTGTCAAAAACGTCATAATCAGTATATAAACAGAAAAAAATCAATTTAAAAAGGAATTTTCAGAATATGGACATAAATATAGGTTAAAAATATAAAAAGAAACGAACTAAAATATATAATGCAGATTTATGAAAATTCCTATGGATGACCGAAACTAAATGAAAGCAGATACACAAGAACACATTTGAATAACGTTAAAAGTGTCATAATACGAATGATAAATGTGTTTTGAACAAATATGAAAATCGACTGTCAAACAAGTTGAATGAACACCCTTTTGTAATATTGTAACAATTTTTCTAAATAAGTAATGCCTTGAGTCTGGATTCAACAGTGATTAAAAACACTGCATCCCAAATATAAATGACTTTTTTGATTTAGAATAGTTCTATGCAAATTGGGAACAAAAAGATTTATGGATCTTGTGGCATATTGATGATCTGTTGAAATTTTTTTCTTCATGTTTGGATACATATATAAAAAGTTCATAGGTACAAGCCAGGTCGGTCGGTAAACAGGCGGTTCGACGTGGGTGCTTTGTTCACTCACTCGAATTGACTGCCGTGTTAGTCGATGGTTCAAGCCCAAGTCTGAACGAGCGATTTTCACTTGCTATCGTCCAACCCGTGTTGGGAATCACACGTTCAAATATAAGACCTCGTTAATCCTCAGCTCGCACAAGTTTTGACTTCTGAGGGCTGTCGTTCGTAGGGGTGCGACAGCCGGTTGACGGAAAAACATATTTTAAACAGATTTTTTTAAACAAGCCTGTCACAGTTAAAATCTTCAGTTGCTTAAAGGCCCCCATTTCAGTCCTGCGACAATTCTCACAGCAAATTTTGCAGAACAAAAAAATGCAACCAAGAGATACATGTACCCCAGTTAGGAATACCATATCGCAGATGGCAGTTGATGTTTGTGTAATAAAGGATTAACAACAAGTTTCCATTACAATGATTTGATAAAAATTTCAATGAATAACAATTTTTTCTTAATTTTTCACAAAGTAAATCGACATGTGTTCAACTGTTTCCTCAAGATAAATTTCATCAGGAGCAGAGATACATTTACTGTCAGAATATTGTTTTTCAGACCACTGTATTACTTTCTTATATACCATTTCAGATGTTATACCATGTTTGGAATTATTTTTTACCCGTTATGAATAGGTTTGTTCCTATCCGATAATATAGCCTTGGGGAATTCCCTGTTTAGCTGTGAAAAAGTGGTTCCGAGTGTGATTGATTACTCAAGTGTGACTTCATTATATTCAAGGCTGCACCCCTTATACCATACTTTTGCTTAACAATTAAGAGGTAATGACTAACACTATCAAAGGCACGAGAGAAGTCAAAAAATAACCCACAAATCTGGATTTTTCCATCCAGGGCCGCAATTACATTTTCGTGAAAATTATATACAACAGTATATATTTGTAAATCTGTGCTGACTTGAATCAAGAACAAATATAATGAGATTATTCTAAATTATCATATCACTGGTGGGTATTTTGAAATAACTTATCTACTTTTTATTGACAATGCACTGATAACATTTTGCTTTAGTTTATCTAGTATGAGTTATTATTTGAACTATTTGAGTTTTGCAATACCTACGTAACTACAAAGATTGAAAAAGATACAGGACCGATATAAAAAAATAATTTTGATTATCAAAGTATCTGTTCCACATTGTCTGAGGATTTTTCTTTTTTGCAGCATGTGCTGAAAATGAAATAAGATTCTGGTTCACAGAGTTATGAATTGGAGATTCCAAATGGTCATTTATTTAATTTGCAATTAAACGAGTTAAGATTATAGAAAAAGAATTTCAATGTACCAAAAGACTATATGATAGCAAAAGCCATCTGTAGAAATATAACAAATATATTATTCAGAAGGAATTCAATGGATATGACCCTCAATGATAACATACTATCCATGATAATAATTCTGGAATTCTATGATCATGGATACTGTTATTAATTGTTATCAAGTAAGAGTACAGAGAATTCATAATGATAATATACTAATTCCAACGAAAGATTTTCCACATATCAGATTTTCTCAAGCATGTTTTCAATATTACTCCCATCAGACAATTTTTTTTAATCATTTCATTTAATTATTCAGGGGGAGGCATAAGCCAGATATCTTAAAAATAAAAATTTATTTTAAAAAAATGAATAAATAACATTTTTTTTTTATCCAGGATAAACTATCAGGTTACCTCACATTCAAAATTAACCATATACAGAAATATTCTTAAATTAAAAGTATGGGCATGTGCTAACTGGCTTTTTTCCATTTATTTAGCTTTAATCACAGCTGTATGTCATCAATAGATTGGTATGATTGTTACAATATTATATCATTTAAAGTACATTTATGGCACTAAGGCAGTTCAATAATCGAGAATGGTCTAATTTATCACTAATATTTTTCAAGTCATTTCCCAGATTATGCTTAAGTCTCTCGTTTACATATAGTGGGCACTTGGTTAGAATATGTGCGATAGTCAATTCAGTATAACATATATAACACATTGGTACTTGTTCTCCAGAGAGTAGTTAACTGTGTGTGAAAAATATGTGTCCAATATGTAGGCGATGGTTTGTGTTCGTCTTTTCTTAGGTGATATTTTCCATGATATGACATATGGTATGACTCTGGAAAGTTTGGGATTGAATGTATCCCATTTTTGTTGCTAGTGTAATGAGAGGTTTTATTTCAGTGCTGGTTTCACATCTTGGTAAATAACTTTGATTATTTGGTGGGTAGATTAATCACTTCTTGCTAATATGACTGCTTTCTTGTTGCTTTCTATTTCAGTGTGAGATGGGAACCAAAGGAACTGAACATTTGTGTTTTTTCTCTGAGTAGGGTTGGGTGAGTTGGATATAAATGTGAATGAATAGCGCTTAAAAAGTCTGCGACGATTATCAAATTTGGTGCTGGTTTAATTTTCAAGTGACATAAGGCTTTGCGGATTGCTGTAAGCTCAGCAGTAAATATGGAGGTGAAGAGTGGTAGTTGGAATTTAGCAAAAGACTCAGTTGTTGTGTATGCAGCACCTAAGCCACTTTCAGAATGTAAAGCGTAAATGTATATGCACTGAAAATTTTCTAATTTTTCAATGGTTTCTAAAAAGAGGTTTTTGAGTAATAGTGGATGGTCTTCGGATTTCTAAAATTGCTAAAATTCAGGATAGTAGATGGGATATGTATAGTTCATGGAGGAGGGGTATTGATTTCAGTAGGATATTTGTTTCAGGTAGGGTTGAACTGCCAATTGTGTTGTCAATATAATTTGTAACATATCCTGAATCTTCAGATACTACCATTATATACTAATTGTAATACAATTATCAGATTCATTATTCAATTTATAATTTTACCCGCTTCCTCTTTCAACTGCGAACGTTTGCCATTGCATACATTCATTTTTCACAAATTTTTATTAACTCAAAACACCCTAAATTAACGTCTACAGTGCACACAACAGCTTTTCTTTTTCAATGGTGTATGAATTATGAATGACCCAATTCATCAATTTTCAATTACCATTACTATTATTAAAGTAAAAGTGAAAGAAAACAAATAAAAGTTATGTGTGTGAATCAGCTATTACACATGCATACTTATACAACATTTTTAGAATATTTCTATTAGATTGACATCAAAATTGTGATTGTGTAAAATTATTAGAAACAGTTTTATACCTTTTTGGCTGCTTTCTTGTTCTTCTTCTCCTTTGGTTTCGGTTTAACTCCTAATAAAGCATTTGTTTGTTGACGTTGCTCAGCTAGAGCTTCTTCATAGCTCTTTTCTTTTATACCATATTTATAAACAAGGAATAATGAAAAACTGGCCACAATAAATAACACAACAAAAATTAATGGCGTTGAAAAATCCATTTTGCTGAAAAAAATGTCCGGTTTTCAGTTAATCTTAATAAATATGAAACAAACATCTCGATAATAATTTTCCATAAAAGTACTCTTTTTTGTGATAGGGAACTTCCCGAACTATTTATAACTTGGCCCCTATCATAACTGTACTGTCAAATTCGCCGAAAATACACAAATACTAAAAAAGAGTTGGAACTGTTAATACAAAAGTATAAAATTTTATGACCCAAGAAGACATAAAATTTATCGACATTCATTTTTAAAATATATTGGTAATTCACCAGAAACCCCAGCCACGTAGACGAGACAAGAATTGCAGTCATATTCAGATGGAATTTACATGCAGAGAAAACATAAGATTCACCAAAAACCCACCTAAATCGGGTAATTCTTACAATCACTATCAATATAAAACAAAACAATTTACTAGAACATCTAAAAAGTAATTATTAAACAATATACTCGTATTTGTCTTATTACAGATCCTCAGTTCACAAACTCAAACTACAAGCAACGAAAACTACACTTTGACGCAGACTGCCATCCATAGCCACAGATACTTAATCTGTGCCATAGCCATAGGAATAAAATTTGCAGCGATGCCAGATCATAGGTGTTTAATTATGATTTTTATCAATAAAACATATTTTGATGTATTGTTTTTATTTTCATGAGATGATAAAACAGATAAACGTTATGATATCTATATTTGATATTGATAGAGAGTAAAAAATTACTGGGATGTCATTCAATATGACAAATGTGAAATATAACAGGGATCTCAGTTGTCAAATGTAAATGCAAAGTGAGCATTATCGCAAAGTATTAAATATAATAATGATAATAATAATAATAATTCCACCTCGGGGCGGAACAACGCCACTTACAAGAGGTGAAGCAGTGAAGAACTTTCTCCGAGGCAAGTATCAGCACAAACTTTGACAGATCTGGTTATCGGAACTGTTAGGGAAGAACAAAGTTGCTGCAACAAATATGCTTGCCGTTCCAATCTTACTCTATTCGTTTGGAGTAGTGAAGTGGGCTCGGGAGGAGCTGTATCAACTCGACGTAAAGACCCGAAAAATAATTTTTAATTCAACTATTGGGTGAATATTCTTCGCGAATTCAATCGAGTAAATATGAAAATTCAGGAAGATATTATTCTTGCCTGTTTCGTCGCACGAATGGATGGTCAACTCAAAAATTTTCTAAAGAAATAATGATGGTATTTGATCGTATCATATCAGAAATTAAAAAAGTACGGAGCAGATCTGGCTCGAAAATACGAGTGAGATTTGAGCACTGTTGAATTCTGCCAGGATCTCTACTTTTTTTGGTGATATAAAAAACGCTAACTGTTTCTATCTCTTGCAACAGATCTATGCGCATGATTTGCAGGATGATTTCCCTATTTGTATTGCCATGCGAATTTACTATACGCTTCCTAGTACATACGCAAGCGGTTAGCAAAGTTTTAGCAAATTGAAACTAATTTTAACAAATTAAAGAATCAACTGTCTTAAACAAATTTATTTCTAACAATATTTCACTATCACACACTAATTTATATTCAACACTTAATTTATTTTCACTATTTCAATTCCTTGTTTAACCTCTCGATTCACTTTCTAAACTCAACTTCCCTTTCTGGACGAGAGCCAGCCTTATATATCGGTAGAGATCCATGGTAGAATTCTGTAGTCTGCTCGGTACATGCCTAGAATTTTTCCGGCGGTGTCAGACTGTATTCTTTGGCGGTGAGTCATATATTTATTCGATGATTCGGCTGGCCTATGGGTCAGGGGCGGCTTCAGATTCGTTACATTGCCCCCTTCTTAAAGACGTTTCGCCCCAAAATGTCATCCTTGGCGTGTGTCAATACCTGCAGGACTCTCCATATCTGCACTGTAAAGTTCGATGGAAGTAACACCCCACAGTCTCTCCATATCTGCACTGTAAAGTTCGATGGAAGTAACACCCCACAGTCTTCATTTTCGGTAGTGGAAAATGGTTACCGCATACCAAAATCTCGATGCCGCTGGATCTGAAGATAGTTTCCAACATGCTTCTCACAATTTTCCAATCCAGCCTGTCGAACCCAGAGGTTATTTTCGGGATTGCCAAGTGCACGAGATTCTCGTCGAGCATTGTGTCACTCAGTCTGGTAAGACTCCTCCAGACATCTTCATAGGACGGTTTGTCTCGAGAATGGTTTTTGGTCACCAAGTAGAAGACGTTTCTCTGGCCCTTCTTCAACTGTAGCACTCTTCCGACTTCGAGATTCTGTTCTCATAATGTTTCGAGCTGACCGAATTTTTTGTTGAATACCACAGCGATACCTCTGGACATTTGGAAATCCTCTGCCACGCAGTGAGCTAGTGCGTATTCAACTGGAACCTTGAAAAGGTTTCGAGGCTCTTCTTGAGTTACCCCATGTACGACCTTCTGTCGGTTCGAGTATAAAGACATGAACTTCTGGAACGTCATTTCATCCTCTGGTGGTCTGAGGGCGCGAACTTGATAGTGATTTCCAGCATAAGGAGCCAATCTATATCTAGTAGAATTATGATTAGACAGGGTGTACCTCAGAGCTCTATCCTTGGACCAATACTCTTCCTTCTATATGTGAACGACTTACCCAAAGCCTTGAATCTTGGTAGTGTATACCAGTTCGCAGATGACACATCAGTCATTATCACTGGAACAAATGCATTAGAACTCTCAACCAAAGCTTCGGCCATGTCAAATAGTATAGTCAAATGGTCAGAGGCAAATAAGACATATCCATTCCTTTACCAGGACGTCAGCGACGGTAAAGGCTTCATGGTTGGGCAGGGCACAGGCTTCTGCCTACTTACTGAAGTAGTCCATGACTACACCAGGATGTATTTGTTCCCATGGTCGGACTCTGGCAACGGGCCGGCGATGTCGATGACGATTCTCTCAAAGGGACTACCCACGTTATTCTGGCGCATTGGAGCTTTCGGTCGTATCCGAGGTCCCTTACTGACAGCACATTTTTTAGTCCTTGACGTCGGCTTGACAATTAACCCAGTAAAACCATTGACTTACTTTCTGGAGGGTTTTCGTTACTCCGAGATGTCCTCCAGTGACTCCATCATGGATTTCTTTGAGCACCTCCCGTCGTCTGTTTCTGGGTACCACTGTCTGGGGCCTTTCTTCTCCACCGTCTTCAGAATCCAATACTTCAGAAACCCGTTTTCCAAGGCAAGGGAGTTCCATTGGGCCCAGTAGGACTTAACCGCTGCCGAATAACCTGCAACCTCCTGTCACGATGGTCTTTGATTACTTTTCTTCCATCCGATGACAAAACCAAGATCTGGATCTTTTTCTTGGTCTTCCTTGATCTTATTGTCCTCCCAGTTGTCGTCTACAGCTGTAGTTCTACAAATAGCTGCTTGCTTCTCTTCTGCTCGTCGGTAGTGTGAGCAGTCATTAGGACATGGTCTCCGTGACAGGGCATCTGCGTTTTTTACGGGGGCTTGCTGGATACAGGCTGATGATTGCCCCTTCTCATCGAACCTTTCACTTGAATTTTGTTGAAGTTCATCTTTTAAACTCGCCGAATTTTCGCGAAGCTTGCCTTCCAAACTCTTCGAAGTTTTCAGAAGTTTCTCCTCCAGGCACTTCGAATTTTCCAGAAGTTTCTCCTCCAGACTTACCGAATTTCAGAGATTTGGTATTCTCATAGAGTTTGCTCCTTATTGAACTCAAATCACCTCCAGAAACTTCGAATAAATATGTTTCGGGATCTTCTCCTGATTCAGTCAAATTATTCCATAGTCTCTTATGAAGTACTAATTTCTTTCCTGAACAATCTAGCTCCAATTTTGGCTTCAATTCGGCGACTTTCAGGTCCACTTAGCGCACTTTCCCCGACCACATTTTATCTTTTATTGTCTATTTTCTACAAAACTGTATATGTCCACTTATTTTAATCGAGTCCGAAAACACTTATTTACTTTCAAAAGTCTATTTTTTGCGAGAAAGGTCAATCAGTTTATGTTTCCGTAGTCCGGTACTGTCCACTTCCACATCCACACGAAATACAACGAATCACCAGTTTTATCGTCAATTTCACCGCAATACAAAAAGATTGTCTACCACGCGTTCAGATTTATTTTACAAATCCACTTCTTATCACCAATTGTAACAAATTAAAGAATTAACTGTCTAAAACAAATTTATTTCTAACAATATTTCACTATCACAAAATAATTTATATTCAACACTTAGCAACTAACGCTTAATTTATTTTCACTATTTGCATTCCTTGTTTAACTGCTCGATTCACTTTCTAAACTCAACTGCCCTTTCTGGACGAGAGCTGGCCTTATATGTCGGTAGAGATCCATAGAATTCTGTAGTCTGTTCGGTACTAACCTAGAATTTTCCCGGCGGTGTCAAACTGCATTCTTTCGCAGTGAGTCATGTATTTATTCAATGAATCAGCTGGCGTATGGGTCAGGGACGGCTTCAGATTCGTTACATAATTAAAAATTATTTGTGATCTTCTACGTGCCAGGAACGTTTATCGAGTTTTGCAATCTCAATTCAAATTCAAAGTTCGTTCCGTGTGAACCAAGATACCCTAACAGATTAGACAAAATTTTCAAAAAGTTGAACATGAAAGTAGCCTCCAAAACTTTTGTTCAATCAAACAAATTTTAGGTATTCCTTAAGACAAAATGTTGGAAAATGAAGTCGGGATATATAAAATAAGCTGTGAGGACTGTGACAGAAAATACATCCGTCAGCCTAAGCCAGTTATTGAAATTTTTTTTCAAAGAACACGTAGAACACTCCGATTTCGGAGACTCATAACGCCTTGGAGGGCGGCCATAGAAAAAATGAAAACTATCTGAAATTATATGATGGAATGGCCGATATTTGATTAAAATCCGTAACTGAAGTGTTTTTTGAATAAGCTATCAGAAATTGTTGAGGCTTTTAGAAGTCTGGAAATAGTAAAGTGTGGCATGAAATATAACTTTCGGATGTCAAAGTCCTTTTTTAAAAATTAATTTTATTAACAAAAATTGATGTTAACAGTATGAGAGCAAAATTATAACTGAATTACAAAAGTATTCTTCCCATGAAGATAAGAATGCTTGCACATCAGTTTCCCAGAATCGCGAGATTCTGCTTCAGCATGGTCAGCGGTTCACATGGGAACGGGCGATATAATTCATGAGAATTAGGAGCAGTTCATTGTTTATCTCTGTATGAATTGCTCTGTTAAATTTAGCGGGAACTTTGACGAGAAAATTTCACGCGAATTTCCATCCAATCATGTCCGAAAGTGAAAATGTACCCTGTTAGATATGAATAGACAGTTTCAGAGATAGGATTTAGTTTAAATCATCTCCTCAAGACGCCAACTCATTGGTGAAACGTGCGTTGTAGCTCTGCAATGCCACAGGTTTCAGTGCTACCTTTTATTTCAGTATTGAATATTGATGTCGGGGGGATCACCCATTATCCCTCATAAATCCGCCCTTGATTGAATTGAAGTTAAATCTTTAATAGAATGTCAACAAAAACAATACAATCACAGTGGAAGAAATCGACATATACTTGTGGTTTAAAAATCAATATTTCGTAACTCATTTCTGAGGGTATACTCGAAAATATGAAAGAGATCAAATTTAGTCTTCTTCTCATTTGTGTCTATTCTGCATAGTTACACCCATAGTAATCTATTGCTAAAGCTAGATTATTTCGTGTTTTTCTAAAAGGAACATGAAGATTAACTCGAGCAAGAAGAGTTGGACAATTTATTTTAGAATTGGACAATTTATGGTATGCGATCTGCATATACTATGTTTCAGTACCCGTTATGAAATGAATTTCAGAAAAGAAGTTATCGCTAGAAGGTACGAGTATGTATTATTGAACAGAACAGACTTTCTATAGAAACGCAAAAAAAAAACAAATGTAACTGTATGCCAAAACGTAGCTCCCTTGATAAGAACCTTTGTGACTGTTTTTGTCTGCAATATATATTTATCAAGAAGTTGGGCCGTTCTTAATAGGATACAGAGTTTAAACCCAAAACTTCAACTTAAAACTCGAAATTAATATCGAAAATATGATTTTAATCCCATAACTTCAATTTCAAACTCGAATTTTCAAGTATTTCCAAGAAACAAATAATAAAAATATGTGCCCATTCTATGCTTTCCAGTTCAATTTTATGTGAAAAAAATTACACAGGTGTGTATGTATGTGTCACAAGTTGTAACAAATGGAAAACATGAATTCCTTCAATTTGAGACATTTTCTGTTGTTAATCATTTAAAATCTTTGGATCATTTTTGGCACAACATAAAAACATGGTTTACTCAGTGGTTTAATAAAATCAACTTCTACCATTGAAGACCAAACTACCCTAAGTATTTTTAAAAAGGAATTCCAGCTCAATTTATAGAAATTGTTCAGGAAAAAAAGGGAAACTTCATTTATTGCAAAACTTTTGTAAGAAACCACTATCGACATGGGTGAAAAAAAACGTGGTAACCAAAAAATAAAAACGCGGGCCCGAGAGATTGGATGGGAATTAGTCAGTCAATTCAAGCGAGCCAGGCACGAGCATTGTTATTCATTTTAGTTGTTTGTATCCATCTCAGAAAAGGGGTGATGGTTTAATTGTTAAGTTCCATTGTGAATTGATGTATCTTTGGGTAAAATATAATTACTTTAAATTGAAAGGAGGGATTAATTTTTGGGAAAGTTTTTAGCTTTCTACTTCTCCATCTCTATGAAAAAATGTGGGAATGTTTGGAGTACAAACTGGATAGAAAAAAGGATTTTTTCCGTAATTCAATGTTCGAAAGTATTTTTTCTATCGTGTAATTCAATGTTTATATAAAAGTAGTTGTTTTGAGAAGGTATTTTTCATACATTTTGTATTGAAAGCCACTTTTTTATATGATCTACAAAACTTTGTTAAGTTTATTTTGGAATGAATTACTTTCATTCTTTCATCTGTATACATTTTTATGTATACAGATGGAGAAATAGAAAGCCATAACCTTTCCCAAAAATTTCTTGTTATAATATTGGTGAATTCACAAATTACGTTTTAGGCTGCCTCAGATTTTTTATCGAAACTATAAACTTAAAAATCCCGTCATGTTCTATTCAAAGGCTAATATTGAACTCAAGACACTTGTAAAATATGCCTATTAAATGTGATCCAACAAATCTTGAGTGCTGAAACTAACATCTGGAGATTTCTCAAAATTTCCATCAGTAACTTCCATTTTGAAGTCTTCTAGCTTGACTTTTGAACCACCAGAAAGGTGGATTTCATTTTCAGTACATTTTTCTTCAATTTTTACCCGTTTTGGTAGGGTCTCACGAGGAGGACTATCTTCAAGTAGAAAATTGTGCATGTGTTTTGATGTACTTGGTAGTATACTGGTGTTGCCACTTTCTTCATCTGTATTTTCTGTATGAGTTTGAGAGCTAGCCGAATCACTTTCAATATCGGAGTTAGAAACTTCTTCTTTCGTTGGAAGTTCTGCTTTGATTGCAAGTTTGTTTGACTTCTTTCTCTTGACCTCAACCAGTGGATTCAACTTAGGTCTTCCTTGTTTAAAGGCTTCTACCAGTTGGTTCAACTGTTGAATTTTTCTTTTCTTTTCATTCAAAACAAGAATGAAATTACTGTACAATTCTTGATCATCACGTTTTTTTCGCTCAATGAATTCTTGTAAAACACATTCAATCCTTTTTTTACCTTCGAAAAAAAAAACAAAATATTTTCTCAAACTTTACTGTACTGAAAACTTACTTTTCTTCAGCTCATCATTTTCTTTTGATATTGATTCTATATTCAACAATAAATCATTCCTTTTTAGGTAGAAGTTGTCTAATAAATTCTCAACACATTTGCTGTAACACACCTGAGTAGTGAAATAGTCTTAATTTTTAGTAACATGGAATGTATGGCATAATATTCATTACCTTTTCCATTGGACAAGAAAAATATTTTATTCTGATTTTGTTTTCCAGTTTACAGTAAATACTGAAATCTTCAGGACCAATTTTCAAATCAACATTTTCTGGCAATTCATTCAATATTTTTATAATTCTAGAATAATACTCAGTATCATCTAACTCTAGGTTCTCTGCTAAAGCAAGTATTTTATCATGCTGTACCTACAAGTGATTTATCTCAAATTAGCAGCTTCATATCCATAATTTACCTACAGGAACTATCCACGCATTGGAATTTTGCCATATGGTTAACGTAAAACAGTTCTCTTTGAATTCTGCATATATCCTAAATTCTTCAGAATTTTCATCTTTAACAAGTTTGAAAAGATTCTTTATCATGTTTCGATTTCCGATTAAAAATTTCAAACTTCCTTAGACAATATATACATAACATTATAACCAAGACGCAGTGTTGCCGGTGGGCAAAATTTAAAATCACCAAATCTATGGAGCATAAATTAGCAGATTTGAAAAAAAATCACCAAATTTCAGAAATTCTGCCAATGAACGAAAAATTAATAGGAAATTGTGAACAAAACTAGATACAAAGTTTGGAAGAGAAATAAAGAGAACTCTCTTGTAAATAAATATTTGAACAAAAACAAACAGAAAATGATTGGTCAAGAATAATTTGATCATCAACTACCTACTACTATTTTTTTGATTCGTAAATTTTTTGATCATATTTTTTTAGCATACCATCAGAAATTTCAAAGTTGTAACATTATTCATGTATTTTTTCATCCTTTAATGCTTTCGTACTGATGCGTTTCCATCTTGCAAATCTACGTTACAACATTTACAAAAAAATGATTGCTTTCTAATTTGCTTGGTTGAATTCAAACTTTTTTTTCATTGAGAAGTGTATTTATGCGTTTAATTACTCTTCCGTTTGGATATTTGTTTTGTTTCAATATCATCGGGGATTATATTTGTATTTGTATCTGATGAATCTGTATCAACTGGAGAACGAACAACTTCTACAAAAAATACATCATTAATTCTTTAGTTAGACTTGTCATTCACAAATAATACCTAAAAGAAAACATGTTAGGTTTAGTATTTCAATTGGGAACAGAACCGCAAAAGATATGTGATTGAACCTTAGACAAGAGAAGGATTGAACATAGAACTCATACGCTAAATAAAAGGTAAGAGTTGTGTGTTGTCTGCCAGATTGTTTTCAGTTACCAGGCTATGCGACTGATAAGCGCAGCATTCTTCTTCTCTGTCTCAATTTCAAATTTGCCATAAAAAACAAAAAACACCAAAATATCACAGAAATATGAAAAATAATCACCACATTGGCATGAAAGTCACCGAATCTGGTGATAAATCATCAGCATTAGCAATTTTGCCAAGATGTTTAGAAACCCATGGTATATGTATCCCTTGGTCCTAGCCTTAGACAATGACATCGCTTTTGTTTTATCAAAAGCTGTCAACGCGAGAGACGTGATTGACCCAACTTTCTACACGTTAATAGATGGAACAAGAATCGTTTTCGAATGAAAACATTGGTGTACGCTTAGCACCTCTGTGAATTGAATGTTGGATCTCTTTATTTTATGAAGAATCAAGAATGCCGTACATTGAATGTTTTTGTCAAAATATGTTTTATTTTTTCTGCAAGTACTCTCTTCCCGGATGCTTTTTCTTTGAGAAAGTAATATTTTTCTGGCATATTTCGAGAAGTACGTTTTACCGGACCAGGACGGGAAGAATCACAGAGTTTTTGTCATTGTAAATATGAAAATTTCGATAGGTATGGTTTTGACAAATGAAATTGATCATTATTATAGCACAGATTAAATATATGTGATTATAGTAGCGGTAGCGAAATAACGTCTGACAGCTATTTGACATGAAATCAGTTGACATTTTCATTTTTGAAAGTTTGCATGGTATCTGTTCGCAATTATTGCAAAAACTATGGAAAGGAGCAGCGATAGTGCGTTTGAAAATGTGCCTTACGAAAATTCAAATGCAGCAGCTGCTGCAAATATAGCCTAAAAAACAAATTCTAGATAAGAAAACGTGTATGATTTGTTCTCGTTATATCCTACGAATGTTGGATATGGAAATATCAACTCAATCTGCTTTATTTTCAGGTACTAACAATTATTGGGTTAGCCGGTGCGTGTGGACGGGAAGGACTTACAAAAATGACAATTGATCTAATAAACAACAAGGAAGACATGTTGCTTGTGGAAAAAACAGATTCCAAAACAAATGTTGAGAGAACTATTGTTGGAATTGGGCAAAAAACCCAGCTGTTGTATAGACAATATTTATTTTTACGGTTAACCCATACATAACAAATTATTCGTGAATTACAAAAAAAAACTGAATCAGCCCTTTGATCCACAGTTTCAGGAATCGCGGATTAAGAATCGTAGAATTTTTAAATTCATCCAATCTTAAAAATTACACAGGCTATATAGCATTCGTCGAACTTCAACGACGTTATTTGCTGATAAAAGTGGAAACATCACACATTTGAAGAGACTCTGTGGCTGGTAGTTTACCAATGTTGCTGAAGAATTAAATATAGATAATTCACTTAAGAACAAAATTAAAATTGCCAAGATCATTAAAAAATTGTCAGATGGAAACAATCAATGTGAAACTAAAACTTTACCTTCTTGTTCTGACTTCAACAAAAGGCATTTGAAACCAATAAATATCAATGGAAAAGGCCTCTCTATTGTCTTTTGTTACTCTGAGGGTTAAACGCCAGAAAACATCTCTTGCCACTCACGGCATCCGTCTCTTTTTAGTCTGTGGGTTGATGTAGTGATGGATCGAATAAAGGCAAGTTCATATTAGAACGATTGCGGTAATATTTTTGCGGTTCCGCAAATTTGCCTCAATTGTCAAAATACCCTGTTCATGTTGAAGCGGGCAATATCTAGAGATTTCATTGTTGAATTTTAAATTTTATTACATGAACCTGAATGATGACATACGACTCATACGAATTACGACTTTCAAGACCAGACCCCATCATATCAGAATACAGGACTAACAATTTTCTCAAGTTTTGTTTAATAGAGGCGTGTCTTCAAACCACTTATCTCAACGTTACTGCCTGCAGGGGCGAGGGGTTCTTTTGCAAAATGAGTTATCTTTAATAAGGGGCCAACCAAATTCAATAATTTTTCGAATAATGAGAGAGTGAGCCTGAAATAGATGAAATATTTCTCTGGATCACTAATTCTCATTCATTTCAGCCACAAGATTGTGATATTCTCCATATTTCCTTCTATTTTTGAAAATATTTTCCACTATAAAGACGGGGTATTCTCAATGAAGCTTTTTACGGTAAAGTTGATATAATTTGAACAACCTGACACATTCGTCCATTTCGGATTCAATTTCGATGTATGGGCTTAAAAAACGGGAGTCAAAGCAATATAACCTCATTGTATGTTGACGTATAATATTTTGCGGAAATCGCAAAAAAGTTCAATTTTTTCAACTTTTTTACGATAAATACGACGCCATTTTAAATCGCACTTTTTATGCGATGTTCGTTCCAACATGAACTAGCCTTAAGAGATATCGAATAGCTTCAATAAACGAATGAAAAATTGATTTTCATCCAAAATTAAAGAAGATGGTATACTCGTGGTTGTGATTGTCCTTGGTCATTTGTTGGTGGTGGTGAGTCATTCATCATTGCTGTCAGATGCTTCCTTGATTTAGCTATAATACCTACCATATTGTTTTGTACATATAATTCAAATGTTTCAACAGGTCACCAAAACATTGGTTTTGATGTTAATTCTATCCCTGCGATTTAAAAAATTGTTCAAATAATACTATAAATAAATATCTTGTAATATAAATATCATCTTGTAAGATTACATACGTCGTGATATTTTTTGAGCTAAATACATAGATTTTTGTGTTAATTATCAAGATATATTATATAATTATTATAATTTTGTACTGTGAATAGATTAACAATAATGTTTTGTATGATATATTTGTTAGAATGAAATGATAATGTTTCTGAAAATATGTATGTGATGTAACAAAATTTTACACCAAAAAAACTTCAACAAAATATTTCAGTAGGTAGTAGGTAATCGTGAATAAAGTATAGAATTCTACTCGCGTATAATGCGTATTACTCTCTCGGTGATTTAAGCCACTCGTCTGCGACTCGTGGCCATAAACTTCACCTCGTGAATAATAGCCATCATTATACGCTCGTTGAATAATATACTATTAATGAAGTATGGAGTTTGTAATTATTGAAAACTCCATTAATTACAATGAATCCCTAGATTTCCTACTAAGCTGAAACAAAGCTTAATTGTTGGTTATGTAATAATCATATGAGAATTGTGAATGAACCTTTTATTTTTCAATCGGAACTCTGCTCTTACAATTTTTGAAAATAAAAGCATTTTCCATTTGAGTTTGATTGGGCCAAAGCCTCGATAACTTAAACAACGCAAGTCAAAATTTCTGTGCTTTGTCATTTTTACGTCGACCGTAGGATCGTAGGACATATAGGGGTAACACTAAACCAAGCACTGAACCGACAACTCAAAATCGAATCGTTTTTATTTAATCGAATGAATCGAATACAATGAATCATTCGTCGTTCTGTATTCGATTCCCCCATCACTGGGTCACAGATCAGTAAAGCCACAGTTAAGTTTATGTAGTATATCCAAGAATATTAAGAAATACTTTATATTTTCTGATTCTAAAAGTGCTCTGGATAGAATTCAGACTACAGATAACAGATAACAAGGTAAACAGTGATTATATTACGCTAAACATAGAATATTTAATAAATAGGGCAGAACAGAACAACATTACTTTCAAATTTGCTTGGATACCTGGACACAATAATATTGTAGGCAACGAACAAGCGGATATGTTGGCAAAAATTGGTACTTCTTTCAAATGTTCCACTGGATATGAAAATAGATAAAAATAATTTCATTCCACAAATGAAACAAAAAATAACAATTTTACGTACGATGGAGACAAAATATACAACTAAAAGGTAAAGCATATTTTAGAATTCACTCGGAATTCCCAGTAACACCTTGGTACTGGAAAGTTCCCTCAATGGATAGAAGACATATAGCAAGTCTTATACGCATGAAAACAGGTCACTGTATGATTGAAATACACTTATTTCGTATAGAGGTAAGCGATACACAAAATTGTGAATGCGGCGAACCAAAAACCCTAAACTATATTTTTCTTGAATGTACAATTACTACTAGTCCAGAAAATAATATATATATATAATCAATTCATGCAGAAAGGAATAACAGTTCCTCTAAATTTGTCTACAGTCCTGGGAAGTTTAAATATTAGCATAATAAAAATTATATGCAAATTCATGGAATATAATCATATTAAATTATAATAGCGAGGGGAGGGAGGTACACCCACATCCACTCCTTATCCCAATTTTATTAGTTTCAATCCTAATGTCACAACCTTTGTATGTATTCTTTGTCTGGTGAGTACCTTACAGCAAGTGAAGATAGAACGCAGATACTCAAGCCTAAAGTTTCAATTATGCAACAAAATTCCAATTCACGTGGACTTAGTGTCTATCAACAACATACAGACGTTAAGCAAGACACAGTACGTCCCCGGACGAAGCGACTGTTGCATAACATCTGTTATGCAATAGGAGGAGACTGGTCTACTCCGCCGAAAGGAAGCAAAGACCAAAAAAAAGAGAAGAAGAAGAAGAAAAAGTTTATGTAGTTCCGATATTCTTTGCATTAGTCACAGAATACAATTATTCAGTCACAGTATTTCTATACAAAATACTGTGATTCAGTGCTTTAACTTTAAGCTTTTTAGTTTCGTTTCTACTTCTACTGTGGTTACAGTAGGAAAGACTAGGTTCAGAGAACACCTATATGCGTGCTTAACTCTCTTTCTAATGATAAGTTCAACATGTTATGTTTAGGTTAAGTAAGAAATAAGTCTCCGAAATAATTCAATCCATAAGTCCCGGCCTAAGATAGTCTTGTTAATTCTGGGCTGGTTTATCTCACAGGTGTAGGAAATTTTAATTGCACACACTCTAGCTTCACGTGGATATCTTCATATCACAGAATTAACAAAGGTAAACTGTCTTCCATTTTATTCATTCCAATAAAGTTTGAAATTTTTACAATGTTTAAGTTTGATTAAGGCCCATTCTCTCTTTCTGTTGATAGATGATTGTTTTCATCAACTTGAAACATTATTTGCAATAACCTAATGTTGTACATTATCATGTTAGTTTTCAGATTAAAATGGATTCACTAAAACCAACTTCTGAAGAACTAAAATTTTGTAGTGCTGATCTGAAATGTATAAGGAATATTTGTATATTGGCTCACGTTGACCATGGAAAAACAACTGTGGCCGATATTCTTCTTGCTACTAATCGCTTGGTTAGTAAACGAATGGCAGGTTTAAGAAGATATCTGGATGATAGACCTGATGAACAAAAACGTGGAATAACTATGAAAAGTAGTGCTGTTTCTCTATTGAATGTTGTGAATGACGAAGATGGGAAAAATAAAAGAATACTGTTGAATATGATAGATACCCCAGGTCATATAGATTTTTCCACTGAAGTGGGAGCTGCCTTAAGGGTATGTGATGGTGCTATTATATTGGTTGATCTCGTTGAAGGAGTATGTGTTCAAACCAGAGAATCGATTAGAAGAGCTTTTGAAGAACACACACGAATGATTTTAGTTCTGAATAAATTTGATAGACTTGTTGTCGAATTAAGAAAAGACATTGATGACATTTTTCAGTGTATACTCAGAGTTTTAGAAGGTTGTAACGCTATTGTAGCAGAACTTTATCAATATGAATATATCAATAATGAAGTGGATATAGAAGATACTGGACTATTGTTTAGTCCAGAAACTGGAAATGTTATTTTTGCCAGTGGTATAGATGGTTGGGGTTTTACAACAAGACAAATCTCAAAAATGTTCGTGGATTTTGTTAAAAATGAAACTGTAGATTCCTTGAATGAAAAAATGTGGGATTTTGATTTTTATATTGATTCTAAGAGGGAGGTAAAAAAAGGAGCAATTGCCAAGAAAAAAAGTAACATTTTTATTCAATTATGTCTCAAAACTGTAGTACATATCTATGAAACCTTTTTAATAAGAATGGAAAGGGATAAAGCAACTTCTGTGATCAAGAAATTGGGCATTAAAAATATTAGTAAGGATATGACCTCCAATGATCCAAAAACACAGGTACAGGCTATATTGCAAGCTTGGCAACCTTTGGCCTTTATAATTTTTCTACAGTGTCTGAAGCTTATACCTTCACCATGTAAAATTGAAAAAACCAAAATAGAATATTTACTCAATTGGAATAAATTTTGTGAAGACTTTTATTTGAACAGTTGCGTGGAAAATATAATGCCTTATTTTGAAAATGCTTCTACAGTTGCTGAAACGCCAACAATAGTTTATGTTTCCAAAATGTTTTGTGTTCATGTAGAAAATCTTTCACAAAATAGACCAAAAGCATTCATTATCAAACCTCGAAATAGGGACATTAAAATAGAAAAAGACGAGTCACAAGACAAGTCAAATAAAGAACTAGAGAAGCCATATCAACAACCAGAAAAACCATGTCAAGAACAAACAAAATCATGTGATAAAGAAGATGGTGTGAATCAGAAAGATGAAATACATGAAAATATAGTTGTAATTGCATTGGCAAGAGTATTCACTGGTACGCTTCGAGTTGGCCAGGAAATTTATGTTATGAAAGGGGCATATTTGCCAGATGAGTTGCAAATTTCAACTAATCCAGAAGATTTTGTTGAACACAATGAATTTGTTGATAAAGTTGTTATCAAAGAGCTGTATATGTTATTTGGTAGAGAATTAATGCTGGTAGATTCAATACCAGCTGGGAATTTTTGTGGAATTGGAGGAATTGAAACTAAAGTTCTTCGAACTGCCACGTTATCTACAATACTAAATATTGTTCCTTTGATTGAAAGACCTAGAACTGATCCAGTAGTTCGTCATGCAATAGAACCTGTGAACCTGAAAGATCTTACTATACTCCGGCAAGGATTAAAACTCCTTATGCAAAGTGATTCCTGTGTAGAGGTTATCATGCAAGAAACAGGAGAGCTCGTACTGCTTACAGCTGGAGACGTACATTTGGAAAAATGTCTAGAAGATTTGAAAAATATTTTTACTGGTATTGAAGTACATGTTTCAAGTCCGATGGTGTCCCTAAGAGAAACTATTCTACAAACTTCCGATGATTTCAAGAAGGATGTCTCTAAATATGAATCTATGCACTCAACACACTTTGTATTATCTGTAATAGCTGTATCTTTACCAGAAAATATACGAAAAATTATTCAAAATAACCATGAGCTATTAAAGACTGTTGAAGACCACCGCCACAGGAGTTTTATTGACATTGCTAAACAATGTTTTGGGAAAAAAACTGAGTCAACAGAAGCTTGTGAAAAAACATTCAAAAGCGAGATAACAAGAAGGAATTTGTCACATGTAAAAGAAGAGTTGAAAACAGCGTTTACTTCCGGTCATCAATGCTGGTTTGGTTTACACGAGAACATTTGGAGTGTGGGTGGAACAAGTAACTGTCTAAATGTCCTGATTAATGATACTTCAAATTATAAACGTAATATATTTACTGAACTAAATGGTACTGATAAAAGAGCTTTATTTGACCATTGCATACTGAAAGCTTTCAACAGTATATGTAAAGCAGGTCCTATATGTGAGGAATCATTGTCAAACTGTGCCTTTATAGTAAGTGAATTTGAAATGGTGAATGAAGTATATTCAGAAGATATTTCACCCCAGTCAACTTCTGTTGTTGAGTCCAGTGTTCGTGAAACTTTCAAAAAAGCATTTGAAAAGCAGGAGCAACGTTTAATGGAACCGATGTATATTACAGAAATTCAAGTCAATATAAATATTTTAGGCAGAGTATATTCAGTGGTGAACAGAAGACATGGCAAAATACTGGAAAATGTGGGTATGGACGAACAAGAAAAAGTATTTCTTGTGAAAGCTCAAATTCCAGTTATTGAAAGCGAGGGGTTTGCTAACGAAATGAGGAAAACTACTTCCGGTCAGGCTAATCCAACTCTGAGATTCAGCCATTATGAAATACTAAATGGTGATCCTTTTTACGAACCCATTGAAGAAGACGAGGAAGATGAAACTATCAATGTTGAAAATTCTTTAAGGGCGAATAAGTTGAGGAAAGATGTTAGACGAAGAAAAGGTCTTCAGGTTGAGGATGAAGTAGTCATACATGCTGAGAAACAAAGAACTCTTAATAAAAAAAAGTAAACAAACGTGACTTTTATTTATGGGATTTAAATTATGAAGACAATACCTCTTTTACATTTTTTTAATTTATAAATTTTGTATGGGGCTCGATTTCAGTTCAACTTACCAAATACTTCAAATATGAAAAAAACTTATCACCAAGACTTTTTTCAACTTACAACTTCACAAATAATGTATGGGCTGTAAATTTTATTGTAAATAATATTTATATTTTTTCAATGATATAACTAGTAGTTAAGTATTTATTCATTTGATATATTGCAGTTACATTAAAAATTGTGGTTTGACAAATTTTAAGCTCCCAATAAGCCAAGAACGTTTAAAGCATCATTAATAAACAATTGGATATTTAGTTTACTTTTATTTTCTACTTCATCCTTTAAACTGATGTGAAAACGATTGAATAATTTGTTTTTACTTTTTAATTATTTTTTTTGTAATTTGAAGGTAAACATTAAATCATTTGAAAAATCGCACGTAAATATTAAAGAGATTTAATTGGAATTCATTGAAGTTTTACAATTCCAGACATCATCAGAAGATGGCAAATGAGAGAGTTGACAAATATTCCGCACATCGGAAATTACGTTGATACTCAGGACATGTCTTCGGTTTTTCTCAATTATCTCAGAAACCTTCACTTTTAGACACATAGAATGTTATGACTTTTAGGTTGACCATCAATGAGCCTAACTTATGTCAAACACTCATTCATCAATTCAGTTGTTCAAAGAAAATTCGTTCAAATAATATGACAAATAAAAAAAACGGAGTTTGTCGGTCTCATTCTAACTTTTTTCAGGAGATTGACAAGCATTTCTATGTTATAAGAAAGTTGTATCATGCGATTATTGCACACAGGATGTTATGTCTCTTCTCAGGACATATCTTCAGTTTTTCGCAAACATCTCAGAAACCTTTACTTTTGGGCAAATGGAATGTTATGACTTTGAGGTTGAGTATTGATGAGCCTAACTGATGTCAAGCGCTCTTTTGTCTATTCGGTTGTCCAAAGAAAATATGAGGGAAAATATCACCACATACCATCGTAACTACAATACTGGTTTACGAAAATTAAAAAGTATAACTTCAAATTATTACTTTGATAAACGTTGATTAGTGCAAAATATCATGATTGACAGTAAAACGCCTTGCCCAGATCCCACAAAGTAGCTTCGTCACTCTATTCATTTTTAATAACATGTTAAATTACCCTTACCATTGTATCAGTTATGGAATTTTTCATAATAAAACCGAACTAGTGACCATTGAGAAAATAGTACTTATTGAAACAACTCATTAAGCGCTCATTGTTTAAAATTTCCAAAATTTTTACTAAAATAGAGATAATGAAGAAGCTCAGTTGAATACCCCCTCAGAATGGTTCGGCTCAATCACAATAATAATGAATTACATTGAATATTTCGAAATTAGAGATATTCTTTAACTTGCGAATAACAAGTGCCATTTAATTATTCGTAATTGGCAGTAAGAAAATGTTTATAGGTTTAGGAATACTTGAAGATTATCTTTATTGCACAATATTCTTGACTATATTTTTAAAAAATGTGAACTCATTAGGACTGTCGTTTTGTACATAGTTCACCAATTGCAAAATAGCTTTATTTTTATTATCTTAGTTTCGTTTAAAATTATCAAAATATTCTCATATTTTTTTTTTAGTAATTTCCTAAATATTGCCATGTCGCTAGAATATTTGGGTATATGTACTTACTATACACAACCTTGTGAAGTACTTTTCATTGAACGTAATTCATCATTAAAATAGTTGACTAGCCTCCTTACCCACCCCACATTTTGCATTTTCTTCATTTTTTAGAAAAATGTTTGCGAGTACGAGAATATAAACTTTTCAAAACGTTTGCTATTTTAAGAAAGCTAACCATATAAATGTTTCGATCATATATTTTTATACAAAATTTGTAAATACAAGTTACTGACTAATTAGACTAAAAACAGTAATGCAGTTTTGCAGTGTGAAATGGCACGCTCCTTAAAAACCAAAACTGTTCAAAACAAGTGGAGGATACGGAAGTATGCTTCATGGGGAGGCGAGGCTCTATTACATCCATACCAAAGAATGTTGATGGCAATGAACAATAGACTTATAATTTGTTCAATTTATTGCACAACATAACAAGATCTATGTAAAACAAAAAACACAAACAGTAATAAAAAAAATGAACACAAAAATGTAGTACACCAGTCCACACATCTAAAATATTTCTGGTAGTTTTTATAATTTGTTTTGAAGAGTCAAGTTCAGGACAGTAGTTTTCCTCATATGGCAATTTGGAATGTATATCTCTGAAATTAAAAAGTAAGAGTGACTAATTCATAATTCAAAGCTATTCACTTACCAAATCTTTCACATATTGCCCTTAATTTTTCTGAATTTCCAGAATACATATTTTTGTTATCCCTGAAATGACAATATTGCATCACTATCAATTTGCTCTCAACAAAAATCTTTGGTTAGCAGATTTTGACAGATATAATTTCAGTTGTTCTCACCTTCTGCTTTTTTTCATTATATTCATGCTGCATAACGTACTCAAACAATTTGTTAATGTGTCTAAATTCAAACAATATGGATGTATGAATTCCTTATTTATACTTATAGCATTTTCTACAACTTGTTGGACGTTGGCAAGAATGGTTTTTTCATCTGTTAGCAATGAAGCTCCCTGAAAGTGACAAAAAGTACATTGATGAATTGAAATATCGAATGTGTATGTGTAATTTTCCCTTCAATAGTAAACATATTTATGTCTTCAAAAAACTGAAAAAAATTTATACAGTGTGCATCATAAATGTTAACTTCCTCCCCCCCATATTTAACTCGTTACTGGACTTTTGTTAGGAAAATCGGCGAGACACGTCGATTTTTGATTTCTACAATATACATTTGAGTATGAACACTTCACCCCTAATTTCATCCCTTACTGGAGGGAAGCAACTCTTTTGAAACATTTAAATAGCATGGGGTGATGAGTGATTGCTCACTTGATTTCATTCCTACAAAATAAAAGTGGTGCATGAACTGACGGATCGCCGTCTACAATATTGTGAAGTTGTCTCTAACAATATTTTACAAAATCTCAGCTATTCGAAAAACATTTGTTTCAGGGATAAGGCTACTTTTTTTTTAATGGTCACATGCATAGACAAAATGTGAGGTACTAGTCTGATGAAAATCCTCGACTTTTTCGCGAAACTTATACCGTTTCCCCACAAAGTTAATGTGTGGGCAGGAATACTGGGTGATCATATTATAGGTCCGTTATTCATCAAGGAAAATCTGACAGGTGCCCTCTATTTAGAAATGCTGGAAACAGTGATACATCCACTGTTAGTGGCAACTGTCGAAAATAATTTAGACGAATTTAACATGGACATCCTCCTCATTTTGTTGTTGCTGTGAGGACTTATTTGAATACTGCTCATGCAGAACGATGGATTGGGCGCCAAGGATTTGTGGAATGGCTTCCAAGATCACCAGATCTAACTCCTTTAGATTTCTTCCTATGGGTTACCCAAAACCTCAAGTCTAGGAGACTCAGTGTCACTCTATTCAGGAGTTGCGTGCGCGGATTACGGAAGTGTGTACAACAATTACTCGCGATACTTTGCAAAGAGTCAGGAGTGAAGCTGAAAATGGACTCTATTTTTGTCAGGTCAATTTTGAAATGTTCCAAATTGTGAATTGTAGATATTGTTAAATAGAAAAAAAAAAAAAGATTAATGTGAATCTTTGATGATTGAAAATTAAGTATCAAGGTGATACTTTATTGTGTGATTTCCACTAAACAGTTTACAAAACTAACATATTGGATGTGCACTCATAAGGTTTATAAGAATGAATTCCAAATCAAATCTCAGGGTTTCAAGTGAAAACCCCTGTTTATAATTTCTCATCAGTAGGTTCTTTGTGTAGACTGAACAAAGAAATCTTGCAATATCAGTTGAAAATAACAGATTTTTTCATAAAATGGAATATCTGTAATACAAAAATAGAGGAAAGTAGTTTTAATGAGTGAGTTCATTCTTCCAGCTTGAACCTGAAAAAATTTCTATATTAATTGTTTTTTTTGCTTGTATATTGATGAGATTATTTTTCAATTTATGTATTCAGTAAGCACTTGAAAACTGAGGATAATAATTTTTTTCATCGACAATCTTGACATTTCAATTCTTATCAACCTTTTGAGATATATTCATGGTTCCCATTGTCATCTTGGAGAGTAATTTAGATAGAGTTTAAGGAAAATATATTTACCTGTAGCACAGAGAAAGTGATGAAATAAGATAATTGAAATGGCTCCAAAGCATTTAATAGAAATTCTGTCAGTTTGTTATTACTTCCCAATTGGTAATGACAGCCACTGTCAGTACATTCTATTATGCCAAAATTTATTCCATTATTTACAGCAGTTTCAAATTCCTGAAATAACCAGTATACAATTTTTATAGAAAATATTAGTTTAAACGTTAAGCAAATGTGAAAAATAGACATACCATTCCCATCAGAGAAGTAAAAATGATAAATTCCTTCGCAAATAGAGATCTCAAGAAGTAGTAGGTCTGAAATAATTCATCTGAAAAATTAAGATAATTGTCAGATTGTGAATAAATAAATACATATATTGAGATAAAAAAAGAACGAAGGCACTTTTTTAAAGAAATGAACTTTAAAACCTTCAAGCTTGTCTCGAATATACCTACACAGTAGGTTGAATGGACTGACGCCTATCAGAAAACAACTACTCCCCTGGCTAATACCACGAAGGGCGTTGGATTATATCCGACAGGCGTCAGTGCCGGAATCTTCACAGAAAATTTCCTGCATATGCAATTGGCAATACAACTGAAAGAGCCGACCTTCTATTTTGAAACGGGCACACTTGCAGACCGGTTTCGAGCTCATTAGCCACTCATCAGTGCAAGATAGTGGCCATCATCGATCTAAAGTCAATGATATTCCATAGTTGAAAATCGGAATTCTTTCAGAGTATTTCATTCCTCTTCCTAAGTTGGAGCGAACAACAAAATGTCACTCCATCTAGTGAAAGAAAAACTTTCTTATTAGTCAGTGAGCTACGCTTGAAGACTGGCAGTAGACAAATCTAAAGAAATGAACTTTAAACGTTCAATCCAGTCTCTTATATACCTACACGGTAGGTTGAATGGACTGACGCCTATCAGAAAACAACTACTCTCCTGGATATGCAGTTGGTTAGTACCTCGTCCACTAGATAGAGTGACATTTTGTTGTTCACTCCAACTTGGGAAGAGGAATGAAATACTTTGAAAGAATTCCGATTTTCAATTATGGAAAATCATTGACTTTAGGTCGATGATGTCCACTATCTTGCACTGATGAGTGGCTAATGAGCCCGAAACCGGTCTGCAAGTGGGCCCGTTCCAAAATTGAAGGTCGGCTCTTGCAGTTGTATTGCCAATTGCATATGCAGGAAATTTTCCGTGAAGATTTCTGCACTGACGCCTGCCGGATATAATCCAACGCCCTTCGTGGTATTAGCCAGGGGAGTAGTTGTTTTCTGATAGGCGTCAGTCCATTCAGCCTACTGTGTAGGTATATTCGAAACTGGCTTGAGCATTTAAAGTTCATTTATTTAGATTTGTTTACTGCCAATCTTCAACCATAGCCCACCGACTAATAATAAAGAAGGCACTTTTCTCAATAACTAAAAATGCAATGCAGTTTTGTTCATCTCTTCGCCAACTCGGTTTGTGAAACGCGAGTATTGCATTTCTCTTGATTGGGAAAAGTGCAAGAGGTTCTATTTTTACCTTTTCAAAGTTGAAGTGGTGTGGGAGATTCTTCAATATGTCAAACTTAGAAAAAACAAGTGATATTCCCTGATTTTCTCATAACTATTAACTAGGTGGTATTAATACATATTTCAAATCTAATTGCATATTAGGAAAATAATGAAAAACTTGGGTTATTGTAGACACGGGGAACACAATAAACAACAGACTCGTGTGTAATAAAGTAAAGAATAGGAGATACATTTTCTTCTTTAGCTTGGTATATTTATCAATGAAACTACAAGATCAAAACTTACCTTTAATTAAACTACTTCTCTTGTTCAAAATAATGGCTAAAATAGCCACGTCTACAAAATAGTGAAGACTTGGATTGACATAGATCTGTAACATAATAAATGGAACAGAGTAAGTCATTGTTTTGTCGGACAAGGCATGACCTTTCAATTTCAAAGGACTGATCTTTTCTTGAGTTACTTCATTCGATATCAAGCACACTTTGTTCTCGGAATCCAGTCTGATTAAGTTGGAGTGTATGATGAAAGAATCTTTGATACTCTTTTCTAAATTGGTTGTGTGAATGAAGCATCCCAACGTTTCCAGAATTTGTTTCATCCACATTACTTGTTTCGTCAATTCATCCAAGGTAAAAGAAACTCTTTGATTGGCATAATTGTTATTTATAACAAGTGCTATCAAATTGAATACAGTCAAAACATTATTTTTCTGCTGCCTATGTACAATCTCATTTGCAAATTGTGGTATAAGATTTTTTTCTTCTTCTGTCATATCTTGTTGGTGAATGGGTCCAACGTTATGCGAAGTTCTCTGAATTTTGCCCTCAAAATATTTCTTGGCAGATATTGCTTCATCTACATGAATGAAAATATCCCCAAAATGTTCTTTTATGATTTTGAGCGACTTGAAGAAGCCCTAAATAAAACACTAATTTTATGGTTATGCTTTCCTTGTTTGAAAAAACTCACAGATGTGGTTTCTTTTGGTTTTGGAACTCCAAGTAACTCGTAAGTAAATAAGTTTTCTTCAAGAATTCTGTCATAATTAATACTAATCGGAACGAATAGTATATCTGGCACTTGTGACAAAAATAGTGCTTTCAAAATCATAGACAGGAGTCCTGAAATTTAGGAAAAACGATTTATTGGCATAAATATATATGGATGAAATAAGAAAATTACCAAATTTTGGAGGCAATGATTTATTACTTCTACTTCTAGTGCCCTCAAGGAAAAATTCAATAGGCACATCTGCTTTGGTGACTAGTTGATAGACATATTCTTTGAAAGTTGTCCAGTATAAACTATCATCATTATATGATCTTCTCATGAAAAAAGCTCCTGTGTCTCTCAGTACTGTTCCCATACCCCACATACCATGAAAATCTGAAAAATTAATTAGTTATGCGGAATGGATACTGAAAACTAACTTTTCATTTAACCAGAAACCTATTATTCTGAGTTGTCAAGAAACTCAAAAGAAAAAAAAGATTGTAGTATAACTAGTAAATAATGATTGAAGAAATGACAATGATTATCATCTTTAAATACATTTCATATTTGAATAACCTATCAACCTATATGGAAAGTGATTACATTTGAAAAGTAAACTTACTGCTTGAAGCTTGAAAATACTTCATTTCATTCTGTCCAGAAAATCAACTTACCCTTTACTAATTTGCGACCGACAAATCGAACATTACCTGATACAGTAATGTGTTGCCTAGCAACACTTTTTGTTTATAAATTTAGTGACGTTTCACTTTCGACTAGTTCTCAATAAAAAATGCAGAAAATGTACAAGTTTTGTACACTATTTTTGGTATACTGATGAAAACTACAATTATAATAATAACTATATACGATTATTATAAAAGTAATTGTCATAATCCAAAGTCATAGCCAACTAGAAAAATACGTATTATGCACCCTCGTTTCTAATATTTATTAGGAAAAAAAGATCCATGGATATACATACCACTCAACTACTCTTCAACCAACCTTAGTGAAAGAAGGTCATGTAATTATAAAATAGACTCCAAAATTTATTTCATCGGGACCTATAACTATTGACATCTTTCAGGTACTTTTACCCATAAAGTAAATATTTCTAGCAACTTTAGTAAATGAAGAATATTGGAAAACTATGGAATAGATCCTTTTCTATATATTTTGCTCAACTAAAATTAGTATTTTCATTTTAGCAGACTTTATATCTATTGATAATCTTCAGGTCTTCTTACTTGTAAAATATATGATTCTATCAACTTTTTTAAATGGAAAATATTGAGAAACTATAGAATAGTCGGTACTATTATTTTAACCCGCACAATAAAATTTGAAATTTAATTCATTTATAAAATATAGTAAGTACAGAATGAAACAAAATGACATATATGTCCGTTAGGTGTTATTACAGTACTCGCTTCATTCCAGAAACGGCGCCTCGTCTGTGAAACAACTCGTACTGTACAAAATAATGTTTCACAACTTCTAAATGTTAGAACTACTTACCCATGCCTGCAGCTACAGCAGGTATTTCTACATCATATGTGAATGTAAGGTATGCCATCAATATAAAATCTCCATAACTCCGATGACTAGGTACAAATATGACTGGACAATTTCCCATCACTGACTTGATCTATAATGAAATTAGTTTGATTCAAAAACTGATTAATATCAATATTGACGATTTTTTTACAAAATGAATTTCTCTCAGAATAGAGATTGATTTAATGATGGTTAATTACCAACATTTTCATATTTGTCTGGTTCACTAAACTAAACTAAACTAAACTAAAGAAAAGTCAAAGTATTTTCCTAGGATTTGGCTAAGGTATGTGGATGATATTTTCGCGGTATTCGATACCAAAAAATCGAATATCGAGGACTTTGTTTCCTTTTTAAATAATAGATGCCCATCAATAAAATTCACGTATGAAGTAGAAAATAAGGGACAACTACCATTTCTTGACGTTTTAGTAATGAGGAGCAAAGATGGAGGGTTAGAATACAATATATTTAGAAAAGAAACAAGCACGTACAAGTATATTCCTGACAGTTCACATCACTGTGGACAGCACAAACGTGCTGGGTTGAATTTTTTGGTGAATCGTGTTTTGACTTTCCCTCTAACACATGATAGGTTCACAAAAGAAAAACGTACAATACAGGAAATAGCAGCCACTAACGGTTTCCCGAGGGGTATTGTAGATGACATACTTAGGAAAAAGAAGTTTAGGTTAAGAATGAACGAAATCTCGACTTTCAGAAAGGACAAAAAACCAAGATAAATACATCTCAGTTCCATACCACCAATATACGAAAAACTTTGGAAAGATTTTCAAAGAACTAGGTATGAAGGTGGTTTTTAAAACAAGTCATACACTGCAGAACCTTTTGGGAAGTCCAAAAGACAAAGTCGAGAATTCGGAAAAGTCTGGAATTTACGAAATTGAATGTAAGGACTGCGATGCAAAATATTATGGACAGACAAAAAGATCTATTAAAGTGAGATATAAGGAACACATAGCACACTTAAAATATGGAAGAATTGAAAAATCAGCAGTTGCCCATCATATTTTGCAACAAAACCATTCCATAGACTTCAGTTCTTTAAGATTAGTTAGATAAGTTAATAACAACAGGCAACTAGATGCCTATGAGAGTGTGGAAATAAGTAAACATAATAATATTATGAATAACGACAACGGACCAATACCAAATAGCATACTATATAGCCTGTTGAAATAATATTGTTGGGTTTACTGATTACTACAAAAAGACACATTGTAAATATATTTAGATAGGCAATATTGTGAAACTAATTTTATATAGCTGAAAATTGTTCTATATATAGCTGTAACATTTAAACATACATAAGGACATATTGTAAATAATAGAAAGGCCAATTGTAAAATTAATTTAGGGTGGTACACTTGTATGGGTGGTATTACTGATTACCTACCTGTATGATGTACCTGATTAGTATAAGTAGCTTTAGTTTTGAGTAGTTATTAGTTTTATCTTCCTCTTGAAGATGATCACTTGGTGATCGAAACACGAGTCGAGGTGTAAAAATAACGATTTGGTGTTGGGAAAAAACTCCAGTAATATTCATTACTACACCAAAGGTTCCAAACAGTATATCACAAGTGGTTCAAGAAAGTTCACTGAACTTTTTCTATTTACCAACTATTTGGGGATCAGCCAATAAATCCACAATGAAACCTTCGAAATTTTTATAAAATAAAACTATCAAATGCATATATAAATTATAGTATTCTGAATCTAACTTATCTTGAATTTGTATAAACAAAAAAATTTATTAGATTTGAACACATTATACAAACCACTGCCTGGGGCTAGTACGCAGAAAGATACAGACGCCAAATCCAAAAGTTTATGAACACCTGTTTACGGGCTGCCATAAACGATCGCAGATTCATACCCAACCGATTCATCTACCGGGACCTGGATCTTAGCACCCAGTATGAGGATACACTTATCAGACACACCGAAAATATCTTCGAGAATATCCAGACATACCCTAACCCAGCGCTGCGTGACAAGCATATGTGCTTGTCCCTCTCGCAGTTTTTACGCCGAGAGTCGTCATCCGGCGGCCCCGGTAAGTATAATTTTTTTTACAGATACACACACACACATAATCTGGTTCTAACACACATAAATTAGTCCGCGACACACAACACCCACCTCCAGCAAGTTACAGGGGACCATCATGTGCACATTACACACAGTAGAGTCAGGTTTTACAAATAGTCATATCTATTGGTGTAAAAGCATTAGAGGCTGACTTCCAATCACGAGAGGACAGATTTCAATTTGACTGAAGTGCCAAGCAGCAGGTTGAGGATCATTCGGAAGTGAGTTGGGGTGGACGGATGAGATTTCAACTTCTGCACACAGTAACAGTGGCACTCAACCCCGAGTGGTGGTGGGGGGGCATGGTGGTGGACCACACAAACAAAAATTTTTTGTTTCATTCATTCAACAACAAATAAATCGAAAATTTCAAACATAATTTCCATATAAATCAATAATATTCGTAGTCATAACACTAGACAAACAAAATTATTATCAGTTAGTATTTTCAAATCTAAATTTGGACTGAAATCGATTCATTATGATGGAATTATAATAATATATAATGCAATTCCTGAAGAAATATAAAAATCTAAAACGCTCTTAAATTTGAAAAAACAATTGAAAAAGTATTCAATGAATTGAATTAACAATACAGGATTATATGATTTTTCATATAGCCAGAATCATCTAAATGCTTTTATATTAAATCTGGATAATTTCACATTTGACTGTTTGCTCATATTATTTTACTTGTGTTTCCTTATTCAATAATTTTTTTTCATTTTCATTTTAGTTTTCAATACCTATTACTTGTGTTTTTTTGTTCAATATTTCATCAATTTGTTAAATTTGTATCTTTAGTTAATCCCTATTCATAAAAATTCAATGTTTCTTGGGATAATAAAGACAATACAATACACCTCACATTTGTACTTTCACTTTTTTGTAAAAAAAAAGCTTATTGCCTTTTTTCTTCTACCTATTTATAAGAATATATAAAATGCGGTAAACTTAAAAAATAAACTCTTTATAAAGATGTTTAGATCATGAACAGAAGTTGTTTTAGTTATGAACTGGAAGAAAAAGTTCTCCCAAAACAATAACTTTCTCATGAACATTGAATTACACGAAAGAAAAAATACTTTCGAAACTACTACTTTCATATGAACATTGATTTATACGAAAACTGGCAATCCGCCTCAGCTCCGCACGGGTACAATGCACGGGTACCCTAAAGTTCAGTTCTGACAGGAGCAAATGGCAGTCTACTTGGCTGTGCAGTAGTTTATGCAAAAAGGTTATTGAAGCACATCTTTTCCTTTTTTCTAAAGAAATTAATTGAAAGTGATTGAGAAGACTATAGTGGTCAGAACCCCTAGATGGATAGATTTTATTAGCAGTGAATAAATTCCTGCACGATTCTCTGGGTTTGACTTTATAGAGACATCTCAGTGCCCTCTGTGCATGGTAAACTGTCTTTGCGACATGGAAACCCAACTAATTTGAAACTACTCTAACTGCGGAGGAGATCTTACTCTTTAGTTGTTTAAGGTGTTCATCAAATTTCAGCCTATTATCAATGAATACACCGAGAAACTTTGTGTTTAATTTATTTTTTAATATGGCAGCGTCTATTGAAATTTGATCAAGCGAACATTTGAATGATATATACATTTTGGACGCATTGAGAAAGAGTAAACTTGCATCGCACCAGCTCTTCACCTTCTTCAAGTCGGATGATATTATTTTCCTTAGCTCCATTGAGTTTTTTCTTTCCATAATATTGTAGTATCATCCGCAAGTAGAGTGAAACTACCAGATTTATTAATCATAGATATGTCATTCATATATAACAGAAACAGAATAGGTCCTAACACAGAACCCTGTGGTACACCAGATTCAATGGCCCTGTTCTCCGAGAGTTCCGTTGTCCTCACCATTTGACTCCGACCTGAAAGGTACGATTCGAACCAAGTGTTCGTTACATCTCTACATTCATATTTATGAAGTTTTTTTAATAAAATTTTATGATTGACACAATCAAACGCCTTTGAAATATCGCAAAAAATTGCGGCAGCTACTACACCAGCATTCAATTCAGAGTAAAGTTCATATAAAAAAAAAGATAGCATCATTTGTATCTTTTTTCGCCTGAAACCCACACTGGTTTTTGCTTATAATACAGTGCAGTTTTAAGAATTCATCTAAACGTACTTTGACTAATTTCTCAATAATTTTTGATAAAGTCGGTATTAAGGAAATAGGACGCAGATTGGAGGGATTATCTAAATCACCACCTTTATGTATTGGAATGACAACGGAAGTTTTCAGAGAAGAAGGAAATGAGCCAGTTCTAAATGAGGTAATAATAAGGGCGACCAAAGTTTGTAGAGCATTGAGTGGTAAATTCAAAAGAATCGTAGAGCATTGAGTGGTAAATTCAAAAGAATCTTAACGGAAATATCATCATATCCGGCCGTGTTTTTGTTTTTAATGTCATGGAGTGCTTTGAACAATTCATTAAGGTCAGTGTCATATAAAATAAGACTGTCATGAATTTTTATATTGTCTAAGTTGATCAATGTATCATGAATTGTTTTACTCAACTGTTTAGCAATAGAACAGTAGAACTCATTTATTATATTAGGATTAAGTGGGAGTTCAGAGTTTTTCTTTTTTGTTTTACCTCTTATATCACTAATAATTGACCAAGTTTCTTTAATTTTATTCTTTGATTCCCCCATTCTGTTGCTGTAATATATCCTCTTAGCTAGACTGATAGTGAATCGATAGACTTTTTTGTAATCATTGAAGTAGTTCCAGAAAAATGTTTCATTTGTGAATTTTCTGATATAATGCAGTGAGCGCAGGTTGCTAGAGGATGTTTTCAGTCCTTTTGTCACCCATGGCACTTTACATTTATTTTTAATTATTTGTTCTGGAAACGATTTATTAAACACATCGGACAATGCACATTCAGAAAGTATGCTCACCCAGTCCATTTCAAGGCAGTTTTGATAGAACCTATCATATTTTGAAAGACTGAACAATGTACCATACTTATGTATGGTTTGTTTTTTTGTTGATTTTAAAAGAATAGAACATATCACTGCTTCATGATCAGATAATCCGGATGGAATAACTGTGCATGAAATATTTTGCTTGTCAATATTGCTACAGACATAGTCGATGCAGGATGTAGAAAATCTAGAAATGCGAGTAACCGTATCAACGTGCATTCTTAAGTCAAATGATAAAAATAAGTTCTTCAGTGACTCATTAACCAGAGAATCACAGTCATTGTAATTGATATTGAAATCGCCTGTTACGATTATAGAACTATTTATCGGCAGGTCAGACAAGAGAAGCTCTAGTTTTCTCAAAAATATATTAACATCCGTAGAGGGAGATCGGTAAAGACAAACAACATATAAATTATAATTTTTGCTAAAGCAGATTGTGAATTCAAATGTTTTATCATCCAAGAGGTCATTGAACTTTTCGACTTGAGAGAAAGAGTAATCGGTAACTGCAGTGTCAGCCACCAGTATAAATGTTCCCCCGTGGTTTGAGTCTGTTCTGGAGTTTCTGCATACCACAGAGTAGCAAAGGTATGTATATAGGCTCATTACTATTACACCAATGTTCTGTTAACAATACTATACTGGGAAAATTCAGACTATTCAGAAGTACATAAAGTTCGTCCCACTTACATCTAAGGGACTGAATATTCAGTAAAATAATGTGCAGGTTTTTGTATTAGATTTGAAATTGTATCCACTATTCCAGAACATTGTCCACTCTTGGAATTAATTTCTTGGGATATCACAGGTCTATAGAAAGGATGTTCTGAGCTTGTTCTAAAAAATCGTCGCATATAGAAACATATTTCAAATTACTTCCTTGTTTTTTCGTTAGAATGTTATAGTTTAATACAGTTTTCGCTATGATATGAATATTAAGCTTTTTATCACCGCGGCTGTTAATCTCCATGAAAGAAATATCTCCTTGAGCATAATAATTTAGCTTTTTTGTGTATTCGTATAATTCGATATTAAATTTATAGATAAGTTGATTAACACTATACATCTTTCCATAGGGTATAGAAGATAGTATTATGTTTGTATTTGTACAGAGGTTCAGAAGACTATTGATTTTTCTGAATGAAGGATATTTTGGCTCTGCCAAAACTGAGATGTAATCATTGCTGTCTAGATCTTTCGACAAGTTGACAATATCTTCAATTATGTTTTCAATCAACGTTCCTGGTTTGATGATAGTTTGAACAGTAAACCTATCCCTATTAAATCTAGATATCATTTCTCCCAAACCATATCCAAATTCATCGCATAAAATAAGGATTTGATTTTTTGGAGAGACTCAACCCATACACAATTTGCTTACATATGTTCTATCATCACCTTCTACATCTGATGATTCAGGCAATTTTTTTTAAATTTTATGAGGCTTATTTTCTTCCACAAAATTGTTTGGCAGTATTTTGTTCTCGATTTTTGGCGAGCTAGGACCAGGTCTTAGTTGAGTATCACATTTGGATATTTGTTTTATTTCTAATTTCAATGCGGAATTTTTTTTCTTGTCGGATACACTCTATTTCATTCAAATTTACTTGATTTTGCACTGAAAGAGTTTCTATCGATGTAAGCATATTTTTGTTGATTTTGTTAAATTCGCCCAGTTCTTCCTCCAGTTTAGACATCTCTTTCAATGTTTCATCCAATTTCATCTGGAGATCTTCATTTCTCAGTGCCAATTCATCTTTATTCGAGTTCAGTTTTGTCAGTTCCCTTTCCTGTTTTTTAATGTTTTTCACAAGATCCTCCTCCAAGCTGGCAGCTTCATCTTGAAAATCGCTTGAGGCTCTTCTCAATCTCTTTATATGTAACTGTCCTTCTCTTGATTATCTCTTCTCAACTTATTAATTTTGTCTTCCCAGTCTATATTTAGTTTTTCTATCACAATAACTTTTTCTGCATTATCCTTCTTAAGTTTATTTATTATGTCTTCACTTATTTTAGGTGGGTCTGCAACTTGTTTATTTTTCTTCGCACACTCTTTAGAGCATAGTATTTTTGTACCTCCCATTGTGATGTGTTTTACCCTGTCCACACAGCTAGTGTGGAACATGTTAAAACACTGAGCACAACAAAAATTTGGGCACTCTTTGCCTTTGCAACACTTGAAGTTGTTGGACATTCTGATGAAATAATGTTTCTAAATTAGTGTTCAATTTAATTGGGTATCAATCCTCTCAAGAATGAAATCGACGTCAATATTGTCCCTTCGTTTTATTTGACTTTATCTGTCGGTGTTTTTGTAGGTAAATCTACTTTTAGAACTTTAATGCTCTCTTCTGAGTTTATTTATGCACTTCACCAAAGTCCAACACAGATAACTGGATAATACTTTGCATAACAAGTAGAAAAAAGACTGAAGTTTTTGAGTAAATTTTAACCACTAAATTTTAATCATCAATCAGAGCCAACCTATTTCAACTTTTACTTTCAATGGAAAAAATTGCAATCTCAGTTGAAAATTATGCGGTGGCACATCTGGCAAATCTAATGAGTTCAAAAACTCTATTGGATAATTCACAGCTTGGGTGATATTGCAAACTGTATCTATGCATAAACAATAATAGTGCCCATAAACTGCGTAGGCAGTGACAGAAGGCTTATTCTGTGAGAGAGCTATAGCTATAGCAGCTATGGCAACCTACGTGACATCCTGCACCCGTGACGAAGTTGGGAGTTAGTCCTTGTAATCACAAGGTCTTCCGACGATGACACGAAACCGCAGTTGGCCCCTGATGGTGAATCAGCTTGTTTGTTTTCGACCCTTTTTTGCAACCAAGTGTTGCCTATCCTTTACACTTGGCTGTACGGTATTGATTGACGAAGGGTAAATAGCCAGAAACATTTTTTTAATAATTTTTTGGACAAGATGATTTTTTTATGATGTAGCATTGAAAAATACATATAACCCTCAATTTTTACCCTTCTATCACCAACCTCTATTTTCTAATAGAGAATTTAGTAATTTAATAATTTTTAACTCTGATCAGTTATTTCCGCCAGGTGTCTACCAATGTCACTTCTCACTCAGTAAACAGCACAGAGTAGGGATGAGAACGAAGCCGATCTCCTCTCTTTCACAGAATAAGCCTTCTCTCACTGCCTACGCAGTTTTTGGGCACTATTATTGTTTATCCATTGAGTGTAGATACAGTTTGCTGTGAATTATCCAATAGAGTTTTTGAACTCATTGGATTTGCCAGGCTTGCATAATTTACAACTGAAGGTTGGATCGCTTCCTAATTTGAATCCACCACGGATGTGTAACGGCACGCGATTAGTCAAGTGTTTTTTTTTCTGATTGATTCGGCCGTTACTTGATGAAGATCCATAGTAATTTCAAAAACTACACCTCACGATTTGATCTCCACAAACTTAATTTGAAAAAATATAATCACAACATGATTCGCTAGCACTGTAGCTTTCCCAAGTATATGAAACGACAATAGTGGTTTTCTCAAACATTTATATGTATAAAATCTGCTTTTCCGTTAACCAGCTGTCGCCCCCTACAAACGACAACCCTTCAAAGTCAAAACTTGTGTGAGCTAAGGATTAACAAAGTATAACCTTCAAACGTGCGATTTCTAGCATGATTACAAATTATAATTGACAAGTTCATGAAAAGTGGAACTAACTCGAGCTGTTTCTCGCTAACATAGTGGATCTACAGGCTGACAGATGTCAAATCAAAATGAATCTACTTTGAAGTGATTTTCCACAAATAAGAATGTACAAAAACAATATGATTTGGTGCTTTTTGGAATATAAACTTTTCATCAAAAAAATTACTTTAGCTAGAATAAATGCCTATAACGACCAAGTCAACCAAATACCACAGTGTAACAGATATTTTGAACATTAACCCTTATTCAGTTTATTTTGTATTGAGTTACTGATTACTGACAGTTAAGTTTCAATATCTACAATGAAAGGTATTATAAAATATTGTTATTGTTAAGTGGAAAATATCCAATGATTTATCACTTTCTCAAATAGTTGTAGAACAGAATATAAAAAGTTTTTAACAAGTGGACTAAATGTTTCTCTTGTATGTACTTGATCCATATATGAAGAATTTCTATATAAGTACTTATTGTTTTCATGCAGTTCAAGTGTTTGTAGTAATTGTGCAACTTATACATTTAAATATTCCATGATCTGAACAAACAAGATAAATTAAAATTATCTTGTAACATACCTCCTGAACTTTGGCTGTATTTATATATAGACCAGAAAGAACTTTCATACATATTTTTGTTAAGGCTAACCCAAGCCATCTAACGACTTTCATTTTTCTGTCATATCCTATTTCATCAAGTATTGTTCGAATTTGTTTCTCTAGTTGAGATTTTGGAATATTTTGTTGTCTGCTCAGCTGAAAAAAAAACATCAGAAAAATTATTATTTGGAGTGAGCACTGCCCATTAGTTTTTTTAGGTGATTACTTTTATTTAATTGATCAATATTTTCCAAATAATTGAAATACAGATAATAGTTTACAATAATTGGAGAGTTTGAAAAATTATTTTTATCCAAAAGACTTTTGAGGTTGCTATGCATTATATAAGAAAACCACAAGGGATGTTTATAGTTCAACTCCTTTTAACTGCCAAAGCTACTCCATAGCAGATGGTATAAATTGACCACCCATTGGAAAATTCTTTCAACACATTTTTCAAGCATCTCTCTGTTATGATTTGAATAATTCATTAATTAATTACTGTACTAACTTCAAAAAGAATAAGAATTATCTATCATTTTGGCAATTCTACCGGCTATTGAAACTCTACTAGGGTCTGCAATAGTTCAACATTGAAACTAGAATCGTTAATAGTAAAATGGTCCAAACTTTAGCTGAAAGGGACAGAAATTATTATTCTTTGTGGAAGAAATGTTAACCATGAAGAAAACAAATACATGTTGAAATTGCTAAGCAGGTATATGTAAATGACCATCAGCAAATCAAAAAGGTGGCAACAAAGGGCTATTATATGAAAACAACCAATTTAAAATACTTTGAAATTTTGCTAACTTATGTTTCAGGAAAGTAGCAGCCATGACCATCAGCAATATGTATCGGCAGTGATGAAGTGACTTTTTTGAATCAGATGATTGACATTATTGTTAATATTGAGGAGTTGAAGTTCATTCTCAATAGTTTGTAAAGTTATATGTGCAAATACAAGAGAAATATAAGATCAAAAACTTGATCTTGACTAATTATGTCATTTGTTTTAACTTTTCTTCTAATACAAGATGCTATATTCATGTTTATCTCTTAATTGTTGTGTAACTACCTAGTAATTGTGGTGAAAAAATACAGAAGCATTTTGAATACATTGTAAAAGTAGCAAAATATGGAGGATTATGAGTTTTGCGCTCCAAAAATAGTAGGGTTGAAGTATTGTTAAATGAACATTTTATTTTCATAATAGAGAATTGCAAATGTACGGCCAAAGTTATAATATGAATAACTAATTTAAATTTGGAATCTGATATTCATTGAGATGCATCTAGACAAATCGATGAGTTTTATCTGAAGCAGATCAAAGGTCAATGAAAGGTTGAGGTTCAAAATTCTTGATGATAATTGTAATCACTTGATCTCTGGAGTAACGGCCTAAGAGTTGAACACTTAATTAACTTTCTATACCCTAAGTGATCTGAGACCAAAAAATCAATAACATTTTTCAGACTTCAATTCAGAATATCAAAACACTTTTTAGTGCAATATGGAAAAAATGTTTTATATTTTGAATTTATGGCAGTAATAGGTATCCCTTTAACTTACTTCATTCAACAATTCTTGTATTCTGGGGCTCTGCAACACTGCTTCTTTGTGCGAAGCTGGTGTGGGTCTTCTTGATCCCTGTTTGAATGCAATTTTTGGGTCCCAATGTTTGGATATCCACAAAAAATTACTAATCTCTTGTCTTCTGGGCTCCAGAAAATTTTCATATTGTTTCTGCTGGCGAATATCCATAATTTCAATTAAAGGAAAATGTAAGGAATTATTATGGAAAAATTATCTCATGAACAAATACCCCCTTTGTGTACGAAAATACAAAACTAGTAGGTATCTTCTCATTTTTTCAATGAACAACCTCCTGTAAATAATCAGGACGTAAAACTATAAAAGGCCTCAAATTTCACTTTTTTTTTTAAATTTTCTGAACTAAATCAATGCTTTCGTTTATTTTGTATGCGAGTATACTATTAACTAATACTAACGTGTCTGTCAATTGTTGTTTTTGTTTCAATTTATATTTTATCGATAACCACTCACACAGGAGTGGATATATTCGAAATTTGATTGGACATGATGAATATGAGTTGATGACTGATGAATTTATAATTTAATAATCTTCCACTGCTTCCACCAACACCAACTTGTATAGGTACAAATGTCTACCATTGAGGACGCTAGTGTATTCAACAAATGGTGATATCAAACGGTAAACAGATAATGGACTGAATGTGAAATTAAATAAAACTATTGTTTTCTGTCAATGCCGATGGTATCTATGTTCATTTTTGTGAATGGTCGTTCTCGACACCTTCACGCATCACCATGTCAGCAGTTAAAACAACTAAACGTTTTTAGGTTTTACTTCTATACGGTGACTAATGTCAATTAGAATGGCTTGGAAACTAAATAGTTACCGAACGTCGGCAGTTTTTTTGTATGGCATGGGCAGCGTGGTATTTTTTTTCAATATTAATTTTATTTTTCATAAACCTACACGGAAGAGTAGTGAATAGTTGTGTCGGTACATTAGCCTTTTATTTCTGATCGATAGTATAGACTATCCTCAAGGTTCTTTACTTTTTGAGTTCAGTGATGCGGCCGCGAATTGTGGACAGCTTAGAACCACAGGAAAGTAGATAAAGAACCACAGAACAGTTAACAATATCCTGTGGTTAGGCCACAGAACTAAAATTAAAAATATTATACGTGTTTTCGTTTTTGACCATGTGAGGAACATTGGTGTCACTCCGGAGCTCGAAGCATCGACATTTACCCGTTCTATTTGAGGCTCAGAGTGATAATAAGAGTTGCTATGCCTATACTAATAAAATACATGTATTTTAAAACAGGTATCGTGGCGGGTAATGAGAGGTTAAAGTAAGTTTGTTTAAATTTGAAATAAGTTGGACCATAACACAGTGGCGGTTGGTTTAGTTGATAATCGGAGGGATATTATATCTTCCAGGAATTCATCACAACTATAGTAACATTTTTGCAGCAGCAATTGCTTTATTCTACCATGAAACACTTTATCAGAGGTAATTTGTTTGATATGCTCTGGTAATTTATTATACAGATTTATGGCATTATACAAAGGGGACTTTTTATATTTCGTTGACTTATGACTTGGAATACCCAAAACATCACCATGACGTGTGTTGTAACTGTGCACCGTTGCGTTTGTTTCTAGTTCATGGATGTTAGATCTAGCAAATCCTATACATTTAAGAATGTATATGGAAGGATCCGATAATAATTTTTCCCTGACGAATACTGGTTTACAGCTGTCTCAGTGTTGAATGCTGAAAATTAGTCTTACTATGCGCTTTTGTGCTACGAATACTCTGATGAATTCATTACTGCAACCCCATGCTATGACATTGAGCGATATATGTGACTCTGCCATTGCAAAATAGATTTCTAGTAGACCTGCTGTGTCCATTCATGATTTCATTCGACTTAAAGCAAAGAATGTCTTGTTTAGTTTGTTGCAGACATCTTTTATTTGCAGATCCCATGATAAGCTTTCATCCAAATAAGTCCCTAAAAATTTTACTTCACTACCAATCTTTATTTCGTCAATAATTTGTAGGTCATCTGGAACATCATTTTTCTTATTGTAGAGTTTAATATTAATCTTTTTCGCTGACACCAGGAGCTAAAACCATTGATTATGCATTTTACCTTACTAAGCAGTCCATCAATATTTCCCCCTGTAACTGTGATAGTGGTATCATCCGCAAACATGATAAGGTGGCAATCTTTCAGATATTCGGACAAAACATTTGCATACAACAAAAAAGCAATGGTCCACGCACTGACCCCTGTGGCACTCCAAAGCTTAACGTCTTTGCACCTTGATCTAACATTTTCACATTTTACAGTCATTTGAGGTTAGATTTAATCCATTTCAACAAGTTATTCGGGAAACTAAATTGGGTTAGTTTTGCAATCAGAAATTCAGGAGACACTGTGTTAAACGCTTTTTTAGATAAAAAAATAAAGACATTACAAAATTTTTCGAATCCACTTCTTTGTAGATATAATTCAGTAAGTGATTTGTTGCAGTTTCAACTGATTTACTATTTCTGAATCCATGTTGATCTTTACACAGTATGTTATTTTCCGCCAAATAATTCGTAATCCTGTTTGCGACTATTTTTTCAAATAATTTAGCCAGTGAGCAGAGCAAAGAGATTTGTCTGTAATTTTCTACTACCGAGTGATCACCTTTATTGAAAAGGGGCTTTACTAATGCTTTTTTTAATTCTTCGGGAAAGTATCCTTGCAAAAAGGACTGATTTAATAAATGAGTCAAAGGGGTAATCGCTACATCGATTATTTTTTTTATTGTTTCTATTGACAACTCATCCAATCCAGTAGACTTTTTATTTTTTAATATTTTTAGTGTGCCTAGCACCTCCGATTCACTTATAGGATCATTTTGGAAAGGAAGAATTATATTGTGATTCTTTGAGACTGTACAAGGCAGTGAAATATTTTGACCAAAGGTTTTTTCAATTGCGAACTTGGCAGCATTTGAGAAATGGGGAATGTTCCTCCTGACGAAAATCAAGTAGTTTTCATAAAAGAGCTCTAAAACAACGCATTTTAAATTTATCATTTCAACCTTTTTCTTTGAAAAATTATTTATATACTTAAAAAAGAGGAATGAAATAATGTATTCAACATTTAAAGTGATTCATTTCTATTTCACCATTTGGCAACATCGGTTATAGCTAATTAAGGACAATGAATCTGTTACCTGTATGAGACAAACAAAGATGACCTATTTCAGAGGCGTGCTGTTCTGTTTAATTATGTTCCAAGTTCCGAGACATTCTGTGATATATGACATTTCGTGCACCTAACCTATCTTCCTCTATATAAATAAATAACCAAACAACCGTTGTTTATATGTCTTGTGGAGGTGGTATTGAACTATAATTTATATTTTGCCTTAATTGTTGATTTATAAAGATAATTTTCTTTTTTTCTAGGTACGTATAAATTATTTCAACTTGATATAGGCGCTGTTGCCAATATGTGAATTAGAAACAAATTCCTTTAAAAATTAAAACCCAACATTTGAAACATCAATTTGAATACTTTTCGAAGTGAATTTGAAAAACTCATGAATTAAACTCAACTTTATTTTGTTCAAACTTGGATTTGCTGTATTAACCCAAATTGAGAAACATTCCCCATTGCAAGCAAACAATTCTGTTATTTCATTTAGGTCTGTAATTTCTTGATCATTTTTTAAAATACTGATAATTTTGTTCGATGATCTACTCTTCCTTCCTAGTTCATTATTTATAATGTTCCATGTTGCTTTGATTCAGAATTTTGTTGAAATAATTGATTTTAGCCTTTTTTAAGTTTTTTTTTATGTTCTTTTAAACTGTTTTGATATAAAACTATTTGTTTTTCATTTTTTTCCTAAAAGTGATTATTACTTATCTGAAATGTAAGAATATGTGACAGATGGTCTGCTTTATTCGGTTGTTTTAACTTGCATTCATAGCTGAATGAGTAGATGTCATGTAGTCAATGCATGTTCGGCTTGTGTGTCCATTTATATTTGTAAAAATCCTAGTGGGGCCTATAAAGTTTATATTAAGTTGGAAAGACTTGAAAAGGTCACTGAGTAGTTTAGTGTTGTTATCTTCTGGTGCTAGGTAATTTATATTGAAATCTCCACACAATATAGTAAAGTTAGATCTGCACTGCCTGCGACAGACAATTTAAGAAAACTCGAGGGTCCCCACTTGGTGGTCTATATGCGGTTATGATAGTGACTAGTTGTATTTTCACGATAGAAAATTGCACAGATCTTTACATGACATTCCACAGATAACTTTTTTATAGACTCTAGTTCATAGTTCTAGTTCATATGTTTTGTTTTTCAATAATTCATACTGACGAATTCTATAATTACGAAAAATCATTAATGTAAATGAAAAAAACTGTATTAAAAAATGAAAAATATGTTTTTCATATGCGTGCCATAGGTCATATTCATTCTGTGATCAACAAATTAAAAAGCTTTCTGCTCAATGTTCGGTTTGTATACTAAATAGTTATTCTGGTGCAACCGGTGTTAAATCTATTATTGCTCACTTAACTACTAACTTACGTCACACGAGAATATGATTTCCGTTTTGGTTTTTCTTTCTTTGTACGAGGCTTTCGCGTTGCATACAGACAATATTCAATAAGAATTGACTGTTGTCATTTTTAAACTTTTTTTTTTGTTGGGATATGTCAAATAATGAAATAATATAAACCCAGCAAACACAATCATGTAAAATTGACATGAACGTTACATAACCGATAATACGTGTTATGTAACCATGTTGCGTAAAACTTACATCCCTGTTATGGCGAAATGTCCGCCACAAATACAACCTGATTTTTACGTAACATTAATGACATTATTTTACATATATATTGTTAATTATTTTTATAGATTGAATACATATTATATTTATATGTAATGAGTAAACATAAACAAATATAACAACTTGGAATCATTAACTAGAAAAAGGATCCTTCAAAAACCAAAACTTCCAGGCCAAACTCTGCCTCGACAGTTTTTTTTGTAAAAAATACTCATCATCAAAAACACAAATCTCAACGTATCACGTGATAAGAATGTTTTAAAAACTCTAGCCTCTTCCACAGAACTTTACACAGACCAACTCGAAAAATCAGAGAGATTCTCATCTCTGTCAAAAAGTCAAGAGCGTCTGGATGTTACCTACAACCTACAACCTGAAAACACAGCGAACATATTATTGAAGTAACAACTTTACGTTGAAGTTAAGTCACAGATTGAATAAATCTGTGGTTAAGTGAACCCTAATATACCATATTGACCTAAGTTTTTACGTGTTAGTTACGACATATTCACATAAATTATTTATGAATATTACTGGAGTTTTTTCCAACACCAAATCGTTATTTTTAACACCTCGACACGTGTTTCGATCACCGAGTGATCATCTACAAAGAGGAAGATTAAACTGGAAACTAACGCGAAGCTAACGCTATTTATGCTATACAGGGTGATTCAAAAGTACTTTGACAAACTTCAGGAGGTGATTTTTCACAATATTCTAATATGAATTGTCCAAATAAATAAATGTCGGAAAACGCTTCGTTTCCAAGATACAGGACGTTGAAGTTTTATTTTTATTTTCGTTTTTTTCAAATAACTTTTGAAATACTGAACTTAATTAAAACGAAACTTGGTAATAGGAGGTTTTTGACGTGTCAAATTCGAACCTAATGTTCTTATTGCTCTTACTCGTAGGGGGCGCCACCTACACGTCTTTGTCTTTTTTTAAAGATTCATAACTTTTTTGGGCGTACTTCTAGCACATTTTTCAGTAAAAAATCGATTCCTCTATCATATCTCCGTAAATAAGATACCCTTGTTACTAGTCGCTGTAAGCAACCGTTTTCTAAATATTTGGACTTGAAAACTTCAAGTCGATTATTTCATAATCGATTCATGTTGAAGTTATTACGAATATTTTGCTTTTTTCACAAGAATGCTTTGGAAATGAATTTGACGTTTTACTCGTTTGAAGAGGTCATTACTGTTGGGTACGTTCCTTTATGACATCCTTAAGCGAAATAATTATTTTTGTATCAAGGGTGCATAATCAGTATTTGTTTTAATAAAATTTGCAAGAAATGTCAACATTTTATTTCAAGAAATTTTGAATATGTAGAATAAACTAAAATAAACGAAACTAAATTGTATTCAAATAAATTGTTGGAAGTGTCCACCTTCAGCGAAGATACAGGCAGTCAGTCGTCTAGTCATTGAATCTCGTACCCGCTCAAAAATTATTGGTGTGTTCCTTATTGTTTCACAGGCGTCTACTATTCGGTTTCTTAGATCTTCCTCGTTCACTACTGGAGTCTTATAAACTAGTGACTTCAAATGTCCCCAAAAGTAAAAATCTATCGGGCTTAGATCTGGGGACCTTGGTGCCCACGCCTGGTTAGGTTCTTCTACACCCCTGCCGATCCATCGATTTGGATAGACTGTGTTAAGGAATTTCCTGGCTACAACGCTAAAATGGGCCGGAGCCCCATCATGCATAAACCACATGCAGATACGAATTTCTAATAGTACATTCTGAAGTAGTCCCGGCAATTCAATTTCCAAAAAAATGTCTGTAACTTGCGCCATTCAGTCGGAGTGGAAGAAAGAAAGGACCTATCAAGTAATTATCAGTTATTGCCGCCCATACATTTACAGAAAATTGATACTGATAATGCCTTTCACTAACTGCGTGACGAGAATTCGGAAAAGTCTGGAATTTACGAAATTGAATGTAAGGACTGCGATGCAAAATATTATAGACAGAGAAAAAGATCTATTAAAGTAAGATATAAGGAACACATAGCACACTTAAAATATGGAAGACCTGAAAAATCAGTAGTCGCCCATCATATTTTGCAACAAAACCATTCCATTTTCACTGTTTTTCAAATAGCGTTCAGCGCTCAGCGTTCAGCGCAATTACAATAGATGACAGGATTTTCTCTTGTCGGGATTCAATAAGGGAAATCCCAACCATAATAATATGTGTTTGACAAACTTATTTTTATGCACGGGGAAATCTCAGTAGAAAAATGACAGCTACAGGATAAAGCTCTCTTATATAGCGTATTGTGTTGTGGCTACAGTTTTTGAATTTTGAATTAGTGAAATATATTATGTAATTCGGTCGTTTATATTGAATAGGTCCTTTCAAAAAGAAGAATGTGGAATGAAATTTATAAATTCGTGGTTAAAAGATGATAAGTTCAAAGGCTGGTTGAGGAATAGCACTGAATTTTTTCTGTTTCGCGGATAATTGTGACTAAAAATGTGGTATACACGAACTGTTACGACACAAATATCCAACGAACACGCGAAGAATTGTGTTTGAAATTACAAAAGCAACAAAAACTGACATCAATGTTGTCCTCAGCTTCCAATTCACAAAATACAAAAATCAAAGCTAAGGGAAATGGCCTGCTTTATTGCTGAACATAATCTGTCTTTTAATATCGCATTTCATTTGAATAAATTGATTTGCGCTGTATGTCTAGATTTGAAAATTGCGAAACGGCCGTACAAAAGTTAGAGCTATTATTGTTGATGTAACTGGGCAGACAGGAAAAGAAAATTTTGTAGATATTTTACTAAACAAATAATTTACATTACTTGTTGTATGTGAGTCCTGGTGACTGATAAAAGTGTAAGATTGTTTAAATTACATGAGTATAAAATTTGCCTTTTTTACTTTACCTACTGTTTTCTCATGTATTTTCATTGATGAGTTGACGTTTTTTTAGTTTTCTTGGTATTGGCAACACTTCGGAGTAATACAATCTACCTTTCCCTGTTCATCTTGCGCCATCTATCGACATGATGCAATAAGCTGTTTTTTTAGTTTGTTATGTTTATGTGCGTCAGATAAACACCCGCCAAATATTTGATTGCCCGAGAGGTTCTAGGTTATGTGATGTGGAAGAGTAGAATTCAAATGAAATATTTTATTTTCAACTTATCTTAACTATCGCAATTGTAAAAATGGAAAAAGAAGTCAATGATAATCGAGTCGTTGAAAGTGGTAACGAACATATGGAAGTATTTTGCAACAATTTTGATGTATCAGAAAGTAATGAGAGTTTACTCTTATTTAAAGAATCTGAAAATTTTGTCGGAAAACAGCATAATGATAGGGATGAATTTGAACCTAGTGTTGAAGAAGATTTAAATATAAATAGGATTGGGAATAAACGTCAAGTTATTGCTGATAGTGATTCCGAGGATTTCGACAAAAATTCATCTTCAGGAAAACTTTTTGAAGTTTATCAGGAAAAATCGCAATGCATTGAACATATCATTTCAGTAACTGGTTTAGAAAATCATTCAGTATCACAGATCGCAGTTGAAACTAAAAAGAAGTCTAAACGGTGGGCTATTCTAGATAGTGACTCTGATCTGGGTGAAGAGGAAAGTACCTTCGGCCCTGAGAGCCATTCTTATGAGGTATCCAAAAGTCACGAATCCTTGGTTAACACTGATCATAATGGAAAAATTGTTCCAGAAAATTCAGTTCACGAGGTAAATATTCACTTTGACAATAATTTATGAAATTTTAAATATTTTGTTACAGAAATCCAGATGGACAGCTTTATGTGACTCAGATAGTGATGACGATTATCATGAGACAGAAATTGGTAATGATAATAATGAAAATGCACTTGAAGACAAAATGATAAACCCAACTCCATATAAGAAAAAAAATAGATGTAAGACTACAGAGAAAACGTCAAATGTTAAGGTACACATAAAAGAAATTCCAGACATGATACATTCTCTTCCCTCTAGTATAAGTATAATTATGAAAAACTACATAGAATTACTTACTTAGTATAAAATCATAGAAAAAAATTTTACTTTCATTTAACTTTAATAATACATCAAGAAAAAGAAAAATTATAAATTTGGGGTGATTTTATTTTTATGCCATCTTTAATGATGTACAGGGTGTACCCCATATGACCGTGTTGTATGGGGTGCCCCACCTGTGCCACGACCAGCATATTACGATTTTTGTGCTTTCTGGCTCTCTCCATATCTAAGTTTTGCAAAAAGGGGATTACTTCTTCTTTTATCAGCCAGAAACTTTCAAAAACTTGACCTTTACTTAGCCAACGAACATTTGTTGCAGTTTAGTCAGAATACGCTGTCAGAAAGAAACTCCTTGAAATGTTGGTGCTGAAGAGCAGAATGAGATCTCATAAAATTAATCAACTTGACCAAGCTCACATCACTTCTTTCAGTGTAGCACTAAATTTTCCACAAAGGGCTGCCTTTTCAATGGCAATATTGCTAGCAACTCTTCCCTAAAAATCTGATACTCAATATCAAGAAATCTTACGAAAATAGACATTTGTTCATCATCAACAATGTCACATGATTCATCAAATGCTATGGCGTAGCAAGGTGCCTTTTACGGAAGTTCAAGAAGAGTGTTTTTAATATCAGCAGCAAAAATTTCTGTTTTTCGTGTATTACTTCACACTGATAATTAAATACTTTGAAATAAAGTGACATCTCTTTTTCTTCAAAAAGTACCATGACTACTTCTAACATACATTTTTTCACCATCTCAGAATCTGAAAATGGTTTCTGCTGTTTATTAAGCGTCCAGCACACACGTAGCGCTGCTTCTGTGGATTTTTCTTGCTTGCTTATGCAACGAACTAGTAATCATGTGCTTTTTTTTTGTGAGAACTGAGATTGAAGTTTTTCTTTACGAGCCTTACTGCCAAGAGAAAATTTTTTGTGAAATTGCTGATGATTTGTTTTGTATTGTCACTTCAGATTACGACTCTTAACAAGAGCGACAGTTTTATTGCATACAAAGCATACTGGAACCGCTTGAGGCCTATTAGGCAGCGTAAAACAATATTGTTCAGTCCATTCTGCCAGAAACTCCTATTTTCACTGTCCACTTCACGCTTTTTAGAATCCATATTAGCATAGGTACGAAAATATTATGAAAACGCGAAAAATCACAAAACAAATGAATGGTTGCCCTGTGGTTTGCGTTTCGACTGACAGTCTGCTTCCCCCGCCCATTCGCCCGCACCCCCGATTTTGATACTCGCTCGCGCTTGTTTCAACAAAACAAAATAGTGGCAAGCGAGCACAAACACATATACACACAGGATAGATAGGAAACTAATAAAACCATACCAGTTGTAGGTACTTGTAAAACAGGTTTACTAGGCAACTTGAAATAAAATAAGTACATAGTTGAATTGTATGTGGCTTAAAAATATTACTTCAATTAATAAAGGTAAATCCAATAGGGACATTCCTCGAGATAAGGTAATACTTTATCAATTCCCGTATCAGCTGTCCTATGTTGGATCAAAGATAAATAGAACTCGTTCTTCCTAGTTCCAAAAAATAGTATCATAAAACGCTTCATGTGCAAAAACCCGACGAAACCCTGAGACGTTGAATACTAATATACCACAGACTTATATCGTCTATTATTAAAGAAAATTCGGCGACATCCAGAAAATACTATAACCCAAAATGAAATTCGCCGATTTGGAATGAAATGGTGAAAAATACGTTAATAACGATACGATAGGCACTATTCATCCAATCTATCCGTAATTTACACAGTCACTGTTCCATCGACCGAAACATACCATACGGTTTTTTCCATAAGATTCGCAGACCCAGGCCCCAATTGAAATCGTTCATTTTAACCGGAGAACGAAATAAATTGGCATGTGTGATATTTCATATACCTACATGGTGTTCTTTCGCGGCGCTACCCTAGAATTTTGAAACCTTTTAGAATTTCATTAAAAATATGTTACAATGAAAAGTTTAATTTTTGTGATTGTTTCTTCTGACTGTTTACTTCTCCGTGCATAAAGCTTCACGAATTTTGAAAAAGCATCAACGATGACCAATATGTACATTTTCTCTGTGGTATTCTTAGAAAAAGGTTCAAGCTAACCTATATGCAACTTAATCATTGGTCTGTCTGTGGGTCGATCGGTGGGTGTACTCTTCCTGGCTTCTTTTCATAGGGAACCTTTGCTAATAAACATTCGAAACAGCCTTGTATGTGCTTTTTCACATATCTCCTCATACCGCTGAACCAGTATGATCCAATGACTTGTCCTTTTTGATGATGTACAATTTTTGCCTCTCTACTTGAATCGGCAATAACATACAAATGCTTCATTTCTTTGTTTACTTTAACTCTCTTATGCAGCCTTCCTGTGTCTATTTCATATCCTTCACTCATATTATTCTCTTCGTAGTTCTTTCTTGTTTATCTTTGCTCAACATTTTAACAATTTAGTTTATTTTTTAGTTTAGTTTTAGTTTATTTCAGGAATTATCATGAACATTTTCATGAATTATGAACATTTTCTACTGGAGAAGGACTTGAACTATCTACATGGGACATTTTGTCTCCACTTCTATGTCTAATTTCGAATAAATACTCAGATAATGTTGGAAACCTTCTAGCAATATATGGTAACAATGTTTTCTTTGAGATTGTATAATTGTAGAATAGGAGCAACTGTACCAGGTAATAAACATTTTTCTGTCGGTTGAAAACCCAAAAATTTTGCAGATTCCTTTCCAAATTCACATTTATACAATTTGGAAGTTAGGTTTGCTTTAGTTTGCTTTCAGTTTGTCAAGCATGTCCAACCAACTCACTGCTTTGATCAAAATATCGTCCAAATATGATGCGATCGTGTTTCTCAGGAAACCTAACGCCAAAGTCATAAGTATCGAAAATTCAAAAGGAGCAGTAACCAAACCAAAACATTCTTTCAAATTATGCATTGTTATTTAGATAAATAAATACAGTTTTATGTTTTGACTGTTCATCAAGATACGTTTGCAAATAGCCTGACAGAGTCTAACGTTTGAAACAATTTACTTCCATTAAGTAATTCACAACAATCGTCAACATGCTGCATTGGAAAATTCTTCTCTATAGTTTGAGAGTTCAATTTTCTTAAGTCTATCACTGGCCTTTTTCGCCCGGCGATTTAGATACTTTCAAAACAGGTGAAGCATAAGGAGAGTTTCACGGTCATCACGCAAAACATTCACGAAATTCTTTACCAGTTCTGAAGATTTTTGGCGGTTACCAAGTAATTCGCTTTCATTGACATCAGTTACATCTGTGTGATGAAAGTCCCTTATTATACACTTGTACTTTTGATTCATCAAAACTTTCAATGTTTCTTCGTTTGTCACAGTCAGTATTATCAATAAATGTGATACTTCCTCATCAATTTGTACTTTGTCATCTCTCCGGACTTAACTGCAGTTTTCTTATTTTCCACTTTCAGTTTGATATTTCTGAAGGGGTCTCCGTTTTTATATCTAACAAATTATTTGACATTCTAATGCAAGCTATTCCCAGTCACGAAATCCATAGATTAAGCGCTGTCAGGTACTACAGGAGATTTGACCTCGAACTTCATCTATATTTATCAAGATTTTCGTCTGTTTACTCAAAGTGCTCTGTCTTCCAAAAGCTTACAAGCTCTGATAAGTCTCTGAACATTTCAAATGATTGGATATCACTACCGTTTTTTTATTGTAGAATCAACAAAAGCTGAAACAGTGAATAGATCCTTGATTTTGACTTGTTTGATGAATTTTTGAACAGGATCAGCACCGTTAAATGGTCCATATACTAAAAATTGTGCCTGCAAATTGTCAACATCGTTATTTTGTCCTTCAGCGATATTAAAACTCATCACATATCTTTATATGACCTCTCTACTTGCATCAGAAAAAATTACACTAAAATTAGTAGATATTCCTTGGTTTTCTCTTCTAGTCTGTACATTATTTACTGTAGTGGGCGTCACTTTATCTTTTGAATAATTATTTGTTTCTTGTAAATTTTTATTGTTGTTCCAATTGGTTCCTCTATTATAAAATTTTTCGTGTTGACCATTCCGTCCAAACTTCTGATCGTGACATCCATGATTTTTTCGAATCGAATAATTTCATGTAACAATTCATCATATTCTAACGTTTTAATGGCAAGTGAACCAGAAATAATGTTTTTGTAATACAAGCCTATAACAACTTGTTTTTTTGGTTTTGTCATTATTATAACCAAGAGCATGATAAAGAGTGACTTTACCTTGGAAATAAGATTAAATTGATTCATTCCTACCTCGGTATCTTTTTCATCTGCTCATTTCGAAATGAAAAGTTTTCTTAAATTTGATTTTGAAATCTTCGAAAATCTTTATTTCAGAAGCTTTTTCTAATACCATTTCTTTGCAGTTTGTAAACTAAATTATGTAAAACTGCTGCATGATTCAAACTGGAAAGCCAATCCATTGTGGGCTTCCGTAACGATTCTCCATTGAAATTTTGGATACTCTGACTGAAATCTGGCATCACATGAAACTTTTTGTTTTATTCATTTTCAATCAGTTTTTGAGTGTTTTGACAGTCTAGCAATTTCATGGACAAAAAAACTAATTAGTTTTAATTAGTTTTTTAATATGGATTTTCATTAGGTATCGGCCAGTTCTATTCAATTAATTTCATGGACTTTTCTTCAGATGTCATTCTATTCTTATCCATTTTTATAATTTTCATGTACTTCTGTAGCACATTCTGTTGAGTTGTACTTTCTGTTAAACTGGTATTTGCGTTATATCCGTTCATGTCTACCGCAGGAACACCGGAAAATATCTAAGCTGAATCCGTTATCGCAATGAAAACCAAGCATAAAATGTTTCAATGTCCTTTCTCAACTTTCTACTTCCAGTAGTGCCCACTTTTGATATGTTGGAAATATCGGTCAGGATTACGGTTTCTGGTTCTGGGTGTGTAGAGAAATGTTTGACGAATAAATAGACATCTACAAATATAATTTTTTAAAGATCCTACAAGTTTCTAAAAATATTGTATGTCTTTTAAAGTATTACCTTCATCAACTTATTTGGTTGTTAGTTTTAGTAGTATATCTCTATTAGTATTTTTTTGTTCATCAATTCAACATGGAATCTTACATTTTTCGATTAATTAAAGTGACAATTTTAATAAACAGCTTAAAATTTTACATAATGAAAAACCATTTTTAGGAGTCGATTTTTATAGTTTTTTTTTTTTAAATTTTCTGAGAAAATTTGCAATGGTAATGTAAATCAAATCAATATTTGATATATTTTGGATATTTTGACGTGAGAATTTTCGATTGGAAATCAGGGTTTTTTTCGATTTTGAATCAAAATAGGGGAAAATTACATATTTTGGATCCCAAAAACTATGGTGTGTTTGGGTCATAAAAAGATAAGTTTTCAACAATCTTGGTGACGAATTATTTTTGTAGAACGAAGAAATAAAAAAAACAAAAAATCGGTTATTTGAGTTTTTCGCATAAATTTCGAGTTTATGTAAAAAGTGTCAATACAAAAGGTGTAAACATTTTTATTCCCTAAAACTTTGCCATTCAACTTTTTTCCATATGACTTGTTGTTTTGCCGGAAATCGCGATAAGCGGTTTTTTATCCATAAAAACTCACCTCCTTCCACTTCCCGATTTCAGATTGCCTGTAAATTATTTTTCCTTCAGTTTTTGTCATATTTTCTCCCGCTTCCAGTGGGTTTCATCCTACTGTTTAAAAAAAAATCTGTTTAAAATCTGTTTTTCCGTTTATCAGCTGTCGCCCCCATAGGAACGACAACTCTCAGAAGTTGCGTAACTTGTGCGAGCTAAGGAACTAACGAGGTCTTACCTTTTAACGTGTGATTCCTAATACGGTTGCAGAATCATCCCAGCTTCAACCAGATAAATTCTCTCGAGAAAAATATCTGGTCGAGGCGGGAATCGAACCCACGATCTTCCGATCGTGAGTCGGGCGCACTACCACCGCGGCCAATTCCAGTACTATTTTCTTTCACTTGTATCTTTTTCGAAGGCTTCAGCACTGGTCTAAAGGTTAACAAAACAAAATAGCTATAACCCAGATAGCTCCTTTGTGAAAGGTTACACTCTGTGAATAATATGATCAGATTAGGGACAAATAACCCAACTGAAACTTCAATGTCAGTGTGTGTTGCTTTTTATATATTCTTTATTTATTTTTCATGTAACGTATTCTCATTGTCTAATCACTGTTGATTTTTTCAGATGACTGGAAAAGAAGCTGCTAAACAGAGACGAGAAATTCAGTCTGAATCTCAGAGAATGGTAAGAGAAATGAATGTGTCTCTTCCCTATCATCGCCCAAAATCTTTCACTCTTAAAGAATTTTTATCCAGGAAAACAAAAATCTCATCAGCTATTCCTGTACCAGCTGGAACTTCACCTTCAGTTGCAATCAAAATGTCCAAACAACAACTAGAGATCATTTCGTAAGTTCTAATGTAGATAGTGTATGTTGTAAAGTAAAATTTAATCATTTTCAAAGTGAAAGTGGTATAAAACGCGTTATAGGTTACATATAGTTCATTCATTGAGTATCCCATGTGCCAATGAACTGTAAACACTTTAGCAGTAATGGAAAATTACTTAGTAAATAATGAATTATAAATGTTGTAAAACTTAAACCTACTTCGCATTATGTTTGCACCAACTGTTCGGGCATCTTCCATTAGAGTTGTTTACAAGTGCCTCACAAAAAAGTGGTATTTTTGAAAGACAATAAAATAGTATGCTGGAAACATGAAGATGTAAGTGATCAGGAGACCAGCCTTCTTGAAAAAACTATAACAGAACTTGTGGATGATGGCGAGATGAAAAACAAATACATTGAAAAGTTGATAAAAGAAAAAATTATTATCTGCAATAAGCAGAGGATATAGACACAGAGATGAATAACTTACAAGAAAAACAAAAAACGACTATCAAAGAAATGGAAAATAAAATAAATAAATAAAATGATTTCATTAAAAGATTCTAATACTCTAACCAATAAGCAAATGAAAAATAAATGTACCTTAACTGCTTCACCAAGCGCTGGTGTGGATGAAGACAATATGAAAAATCTAAAACACACAAAAATAAGTTCTGATAAAGGAACCCAGACTTTTTTTCCATCTGACTACTAGAAAAAGGCGGATCGTATTAAAGTTCAAACAATTAGCAAACAAATTGAACGTAATACATCAGAACTCAACAAAATTGAGAATGTTAAAAATTACTATTGTAATATCAAACTATCATGGGAGAAATATAGCCACGAATCTTCTGAATCATATGTATGAAAATTACAAGATCCAATCTTTTATCAAAGCTAATGCAAACCTTGATGAAGTTTTGAAAACTGCAGAGGAAAGCTCAAAAAAGTGACGAGGGCAGACATTTTAGTGTTATGCCCCAAAAATAAAGACAAGAAAAATGAAAATATACACATACAAACATCATAATCATGGCAGAGCCTTATTGTTTTGATGACGGCGGAAATAGTAGAATATACAGAAACAATTTAACTTTGTGTAAAGAAATTCACTTCAATGTTTGTAAATCTATTTATGTTAAAAATAAACATATTTTTCCGTTGATCAGCTGTCGCCCCCATACGAAAGACAACTCTCAGAAGTTGAGAAACTTGTGCGAGCTAAGGACTAACGAGGTCTTACCTTTTAACGTGTGATTCCTAACACGGAATGCAATAATCACATTAGAACTTCAAATATTGACAGAAGTGGGTACAATCTGAAAAAATCTAGTATATATATTGTAAGCAAAGCATTAGCAAATTATATCAAGTCCGAACATCATGGTAAACAGACAGCTGAAACTGATGAAAATATGTCAAGTGAAAACATGGAACATACACAAATGAATGGGAACTTGCTAATTGAATTTGAAATAAGGTCAAATGATTGTTAAAAATCAACACAACATGAAGAATCTATACTAGACGCATCTAAAAATAATTTTTTATGCCCTCGCCTGAGTCGAGAGGCTCCAAAGGAAATTTAGGCAGTGAAAATAGTGCTCCACCTAGCAATTTAGCTTTTTTAGATTTAAATAATAGTCTGGGAGTTTGTGAAACCAAATTATGTCATGTCAATGTCCAAGGCCTTTTGAATAATTTGAACTCTGTTGAATTATTTGTTCATAATAATAATATTGAAATCGTTTGTTCGTCGGAGCACTGGATAACTGAAAACTATTATAGAGATTGATATTTTAATAATTTCGAAATGGCAATAAATTATTGCAGACAAAATCATATTTGGAGTATTGTATGTATCCTTGTAAAAAAAGTATTGAATATAGGAAATGCTTACATTGAAAAAAATTTCTTCAGTCTCAAATCGAAATATGTGGAATTTGTTGTGAAGTGAATAGCTTAAAAATTATAGTTATCACCATTTATAGACATCCAAGTGGAGATTTGAATCTATTTTTCGATTGTCTATTACATACATTAAAACTTGCTGAGAATAAAACTGAAAATATAATTTTGTGTGGGGACTTCAATATAGATTATCTGGTGAATGATACTAATACCAAATTATTGAAGGATCTATTCAACTCATTTGAATTGGAATTCGATATGTTAGGCCCTACAAGAATATTCACCACCATTAACGATCACACTACCAGCACCAGTATTGATTATATGGTAATCAATTTCTGTAAAGAAATTTATAACTGTGTATGGGTACAACCAAACCTTGCAGATCTTGTATCCTACATATTAACTGGTAAAAACAAAAAGTAAATAATAATGAAAAAAAAAGTTCGGTTAAATCAGTTATAGTGAAAAGACGTGTCAATCCTAGCAGCATCAATGAATTAAGAACTATACTCAGTACTACAATATGGTTTCCAATGTTATATGATATGACTATTTATGATGAATTCTTTCTTCTTAGAGTCCCTCTCTTGGTGTTTTGATGTCTCGTGTCCCAAAAGAGAAAATGTTGTAAATAAGGGCATTAATATTAAGTTGATTTCTGACGATGTTGCCAAGGAAGGAAAATATCTAAAGAGGCACATCTTCACCGGCATCAAGAGATTGCATATCTTGATGAGGATCTAGAAGTGATTTCGAATTGGGGTAAAAGTATCCAGGTTCAATTGAATGCCACAAAACCCCAGGCATCGGTTTTCTTTAATAAGATAAATGTCTCTGAACCGGGTATAATAATGTCAGGTCAGACAATTCTGCTTTCTTCTTCGATAAGTTTGTTGGGGGTTAAAATGGACACCAATATGTCTAGGCACAATCATGTCACCGGAATTGCAAAGGCTGCTTCTCAAAAGCTTGGAACACTGTTCCGAATCAGAAAACTGTACACACCTTAGCAACTTTTGATGCTTTATAAAGTTCAGACCAGACCTTCTTTGGAGTATTGTTCTCATGTATGGAGCTCTGCCCCCCAAACCTACCCTGAAGTTGCTGGATTTTATCCAGAAAAGAGCCATCCGTCTGATTGGAGACTCTTTTCTATAGATACTTTCCTGGAAAGTGTTCAAGTGACTTGGCACATTTGATTCCACCAAGAGCGGTACATATCAGAAATATGCCACGGACTGTGGCTGCTCATCGTTCAACTCAGTATACCTCGAACTGCACTGTTTGAGAACTCTTTCATCTGAAGAACTACATTTATGTGGAATAAACGTTTTTCCAAATGGATTTGATCTCCAGCAATTCAAATCCAATGTGAATCCCTACTTTCGCACAAGCACCTCTCTGAGAGCACTTAAGGATTTTCCTGTAGTGCTTGTGTTTTGTCCTTTAAAAAAAAACTGATCAAGAAGTTGACCCTAGCAATATGGCTGTAAACAAACCTAGGCTGAAAGAACACAAGAATAATGTTGAGAAAAAAAAGATAGTTACTTTTCCACTAAAATTGACAATGCCAGTAACAAAACTAAAGAGACGTGGAATATAGTAAACAATGAGTTGGGAAGAAAAAAAAAGTGTTTTGCTGATAATTTTATCACTCTCCATCATGACTCAATTGTGGTTGAACACCCTCCTGCTGTAGCAGACCTATTTGCAAGTTCTGCCAAAACTGCTATTTCCACACACTTAGGTCAAAATCTCTACCACATTCTCATGACATTATATTTAAGGAAATATGCGGACATGCCATTGCAAAATATTTACTCGAGAGATATTTTTCATCTAAAAGCAATTTCATTTGCTTAATCGTGAAGAATGCTGCATTAAGTTTCTTGCAAACCCCATTAATATGCAGATCCCAATTTAAAGATTCATCTAACATGGTACCTAGGAATTTAACATCATGTGACATTGCTATTCCATCAGTAATATCAACTCCATCTAGAATGTTATATTGTTATATTTGACTCTCAAATGCCGACCACTCATATAGGATTTTGTCCAAGTCAGTATGTTATGGGGAAACCCAAACCTCTCTAACTTTATATATAGAGAATCTGGTGAAACAGTGTCAAATACCATCGACAGATCAAAAAAAATACTAATTACAAAATTAGTGGCATCAACTTCAGAATATATGTTATTGAGATAATCATAACCAGCGGTTTCTATGAAACGATCTTTCCTAAATCCACGTTGATCATTACATTATTTGACTCAAAGTAATTCACCATTCTAGTAGCCACCACTTTTTCATACATTTTCGAAAGTAATGAAATTTGTCGGTAGTTATTTAGGTCATTAGGGTCATACAAATGGGTCACATGTGGCCTAAGTACTGTGGGCTCACACTCACCCTCCCAACTCTACAGATACAGATAGGGGAGATATAATACGGTCAAATGTTTCTTTAACAACTGGTAGTGACAAGTCATCTGATTAATCGAATTTTTATTTTTCATTAATCCCAATGCAGCATGAATTTCAGCTTCAGTAATCGGTCCGTTCTCAAATAAGTGTACAATATTGATGTTTGTACTGGTTGTACAAGGTAATGTTAGATTTTCACCTAAGTGTGTGGAAATAACAGTTTTAGCAGAACTCGCAAAATGATGGGCAAATAGGTCTGCTACAGCAGGAGGGTGTTCAACCACAACTGAGTCATGATGGAGAGTGATAAAATTATCAGCAAAACACTTTTTTTTTTCTTCCCAACTCGTTTACTATATTCCACGTCTCTTTAGTTTTGTTACTGGCATTGTCAATTTTAGTGGAAAAGTAACTATCTTTTTTTTCTTAACGTTATTCTTGTGTTCTTTCAGCCTAGGTTTGTTTACAGCCATATTACTAGGGTCAACTTCTTGATCAGTTTTTTTTAAAGGACAAAACACAAGCACTACAGGAAAATCCTCAAGTGCTCTCAGAGAGGTGCTTGTGCAAAAGTAGGGATTCCCATTGGATTTGTATTGCTGAAGATCAAATCCCTTTGGAAAAACGTTTATTCCACATAAATGCAGTTCTTCAGATGAAAGAGTTCTCAAACAGTGTAGTTCGAGGTATACTGAGTTGAACGATGAGCAGCCACAGCAGATACATACATTACTCCAAATATGATTTTGCCTGCAATAATTTATTGCCATTTCGAAATTATTAAAATATCAATCTCTATAATAGTTTTCACTTATCCAGTGCTCCATCTTGTAGGTGAACACAGTCAATTTTCGATGACATGATTTTTGAAAAGTTTCCACCCCAGTTTTCCCATTCAGACGGCCTGGAAAACCCCGACGAAGTTTTTTTGTTCAATGAGTCATCAGGAATAACGATTTCCAATGGTGTAGGTGTAAATATTCAATTTTTGGTGATACGATTTTTTTAAATTTCCACCTCATTTCCACCCCCTTAGACTGTCTGGAAAACTATGACGTAATGTTTTTTTTTGTTGAATCGGTCATCAGAGATAACATATCTCAATTTTGTAGGTATACACATTAAATTTTCGATTATAAAACTTTCAAGAGTTTCCACCTCATTTTCAGATATTTTTTTTCAACAATTTTTTATTCCTCATTTGCAGGAAAAAACTCAAACAGCACGAGAAAGAAGTCAAAGAGTTCTACAAATCTGAAAGTGAATCTGGAGATGAAGATACAAATAATGAGGATTATGTTCCTCCAGGTATGGAGAAAACTACAGGTTCCAAAGAAATCTCACATTCAGAAACAAAATCTGTTGATGATAGCGAAAAAATCTCTTTAGAAGAGAATAAAAACGATGAAATGGCTGAAGATTCTGGTGTTGACACTCAACAGATAGATTTTAATAGCGAAAAAATCTGTACAGAAGAAAATAAAAACGATGAAATGGCTGAAGATTCTGGTGTTGACACTCAACAGACGGATTTTAAACAGACAGAAGAAGTTGTGGAAGAAAGTTCAATTGAGGTGAATGATAAATCTGTAGAAAAAAATGATGATATTTCAATTGAAACCATTCAAAAGGAATCTCAACTCGATGATAGTGTAATGCATGTAAATAATTCATCAGTTAATAATCACATTGATGGCGAGATGACTCAAAAACCTACTGAAATTCAACAAGAATGTGAAAGCTCTGAACAGCCCAGTAGAACACTTAATGAATCTGAAGAAATCTGTACCATAGATGACACTGAAAATAGAGAGAATCAGATTTATCATGATAATGGGGAATCAGCTGATAAAAGTGGTATAATTTTTGAAAAATTAAGGGAACCTCAAACAGTTGACCAAAATTCAATGGAGTATGAATTCAACTTGGACGATATTGATCAAAGTTCTGAAAAATGTTCTTCAGTAGCAAAAGTTGACCCAATTGAAAAGGACTTGACTACTAATAATCACAATGAAGATGAACATATAATTGAAAGTACATCAAATAATGGAAAGAAAAACATCTTTCAACCAGTCGATAGCGACACAGAACATCTTAATAGCATAGAACTTTCTCAAGATTTGTTTGTAGACTCCACAACGAACAAACCGAAAAGTTTTGAATATTCAGACTTGGACAGAGAAATAGAAAACTTTACAAATATTGAGAATTCTGTTCAAACTGGGAAACCAACGTTATCTAAACTGGAGCTCCTTAGAGAAAAATTGGCAAATATAAAACCGCGGTTAAGTGGGGGAGAAAATGAAATCATTGATTTGAATACAGAAATTGCTAGGCCCAATGAAGTTACAAAACTCATGCAAAGATTTGTTCAACATACCACAAAAATAAATAGTCATAAAAGTAAAGTAAAATTAAATATAGTCAGTGTAGAAAGCGGAGAAATATTCAAAGAAACAGTAGATATGAATGTTGATGATGATGATCCAGTTGATATTGAAGAAAAGCCTGGGGCAAAACTTCAAAAGCTTCGTGGGGAGCTTCAGAATCGGATGTCGGAGCAAAGAAAGAAAATGTGGCAAAAAAAGATAAATGCCGAGCCAACTTCAGCAGACAAAGATCCATATGATGGTGAAAAATCAGATTGTGAGTCTGGAGATAGAATCCTCGATGATGATGAAGAAGAAGAAATGTCAGAATCTAGTGAAGAAGAAAATGAAGAAGAAGAAGAAGAGAACGAACAGAAAGACAAACAGAAAGACAAACATCAAGCCAAATCATCTTTTTTCAACAATGAAACAGAAGAAACCGATAGAGAAGATTCTGAAGAAGACTGTATTGAAGCAGACGATGGTGATGATGAACAAGAAATGGATGAAGAAGAGAAAAGTAAAGTTCTTGAAGATGAAGAATCTAACTCCTCAGATCATTGTGAAGGAAAGCCTGTCAAAAAAACCTTGAAAAGAATTTTGAAAGGTTTTACAGAAGATTCAGATGAGGATGATCAATTTGATTTGACTTCTCAAAATGATGCCACAAAAGCCGTAGAGAATTTGAACCAAAATAAAGAAGCAGAGGCAACACGTATGTGGATGACTTCTGTTTATGTATTTTTTTTGAATGATGTATTATATTTTCAGAAGATGATGATTATTTGCCTTCTCATCAACCACAAAATGTCAAAACTCCTGTAAGGCATCCTGCTGTTTCTCAGTCAACATCTGAATATGATTTCTTGACTCCTGTTTCTTATATAACTGGTCTCAACAATCTAAATTCAGCATCGAAGGTAAGTTCAATAACATTTGTTACTTTCTTATTGAATTTATTTTATTTCAGTCCAAAAGTTTTGGAGTGGTGTCACCATTTCGAATGCCAAATGTACCATCACCATTGAAAGAGGCGAATTGGCATGCCAACTTACAGAAAAAGTTGTTCACTCATTCAGAAATAACTAATTCACAGGTAAGATGTAAGCTGTTCGTGTATCATAAGATATAAGAGGGAAGAAAAAAATCTGTGATACTTAGAATCATGTATGGTTCTTTGTGTTTTATATTGTATTGGAATATTATATTATAATATTTCAGTGCAATAGAAAAATGCAAATTTCTTTCAAATATTAAAATACAAATTGGAATATGTAAAAGTTTTCATGGGAATATAATTATCTGAAACTGAAAGGCATATTTCATTTGAAAAATAACCTTCAAATACGAGGGACATTTTTAAATAAGAACCGATTGCACATCATGTCTGTACATCTTGTCATGTGATTAATGTCACTTTAAGTTCGGCTTCTTTTTGACTGTCACGTCTCTACAAGTTTCTGTCATGTGATGATACTGCTTCTGAGTATGGTACAAAAAAACAAACATAGTCAGTGAATTTAATATTTGAGACGAAGTAATCTAAAGGATATATGAAACTCTGATTTGAGTGGAACAACTTTTGAATTTCAAAGAATATTTATCGGCTGCAAACATAATTGGTCTTAAATTTGTTCAAGACCCTTTTCTAGACCATTTTCATAGGACTATATGGTTTTATGATCAGGTTTTATATGGAGGTAGCTGTGGACAGTTTGTAACAATTCATGAGACAGTTCTCGAGTTGTACTATTCAGAAGTTGTGTCAAATTTGAAATTGTTATTTTTGTGATTTACCAAGTTTGTTGAGACGTGTTTTCAAGAGTTGTTCAATAAAGGAAGTTTTCTGAAATTTTTACCACTTATGTTTGAATCCAGGACCGTCAAACTACCGTTTGACTTATCTCATGTTCTGTAAATGATCTGCGGAATTTAATGTTCTATCTATCAATCTATTTAGCTAGATTAAAGTTGGAAATTTGAGTTAACGAATTAGAGAAATATTTTTTTATGTCATTAGTTTTGTTATTTGATTCGAAGTATACTCATATATTAAGTATGTTGTAGAGTTTCAGTGTGTCAAGAAAAATATATAATATCTCAAGTTTTTCAATTTTGACAGCCATTTTATACTCGACTCCTTGCATTTGTGAAGAAGTATCTTTATTTCAGATTGAAATAAGCCCTAGAACCTGAAATAAGCTGTAGAACCTACATTTCTTTACATTGCTGCAAAAATATATATAGTCAAATGATAACTGTGCATGGAAATGTTAATCACTTTTTACCAGTCAGCCTTAGAATGACCCATATGGAAATAAATATTCCTGGTATCTACTATAAAGATATATTTTTTCTATTGCAGTCACTACTGATTTTCCTTTGAAATATATTTGGTAAATGGTATTGTTACATGTTTCTTTTTCGACTAATTACTTTAAATCAAAGTTACTTTTTTCTTTTAGGCTGAAGCAATAGCTGAGTTATGTTCAGACAATGCTTCTTTTTCTCAAGAACCAGATAATGAGAACACCAATCAGGAATTAGAAAAACTGTGCTCTTCTCCTGTAAATACCCAAGATATTTTGAATATTTGCTCTGGAGAATTTACAGATAACTCACAAGCAGTGCCCTCCAGTGCCTCTCCTACCTCTCAGGATCTATTAAATATTTGTTCTGGAGAGTTCACTGGAGTATCTCAGGATGTTTCTCATGAAGCTATCCAAACTCCTCTTGAAACTCATACCTTCAATCCCACCAAGGAAGTCAAGAGCCTTGGTGCTGATGAGGGTTTGATCATTTCTCAACTGTTGGATGAAGATATGGAGAAATTCAAGAAGACTTTTGAATCACCACTGATGACTAATACACAAAGGAGAATCGTAGAAGAATTTGAGGAAAACGCTGCTAGTGGACGAGTTATCGATTCAGATGATGATGAAGGTGATGGGCTTGAAATAAAGAAGAAAGTGCATCAGAAAAAACTAATATTTTCAGGTATGATTTGTTTAGTTTCTTTTAGAATTTTGGACTGTGGCAAGAAGTTGGTTGGTAGTATTTTGTAAACTGATAAATTAAGTCACTTAACTAGTTTAGTGACCAAAAGTTTCATGTTGTTGTGTCTCGGAAATTTGGTTGTTGCAATGTTGTTAACATTTTAAAAATATGTACTAATATGTTTGATGATAGTAATTTAACATTTTCAGTACAATGAAAACCTAGTCTATTCCAATTTTTCAATTGGAAACGGCAATTCAAATATGTGTTTCACTACTTCAAGTTTAAACAACCATGTATGTTTTTGTAATTTGTTCACTTATGTAAAAAATATTGAGAGAAAATGATTTGTTTGTAATACATTTTTCATTGAATGAACCAAATGCATACACAAAAACATTTTTATCAAGAATATGAGAGAGCAATATTAATAAGGATCATTTTAGAAAAACTGTCCCTTAATATCAATATTTACTATTAATTAATTAACAAATGTGTCTTTGAGCAAATTTTTTCGTAAAAAATCGTTACTTTTACCAATGATTTATTTCTCAGAAAAAATTTGAATGTCTTATAAACAATAAAGATGTTCATAATAACTTTTCAAACAACGAGAGTGATAAATGAAAAATATATTCATGTACTGTTTTGTGATTAGAGAACAGAACAATCAGAATATTTGAAAAAAAAATTCTTGAGAGATTTACTTGAATTTTTCATTTTTCACAATTCAATTTATTCATACGAACAATGAATATCAAATATTCAAAAATAGACTCAGAAGAGAAAAAAGATAACTTTAGTTTAAAAAATTTCAAATTGTAAAAAACCCTCATTCAACAAATGTTTAATGGATTGCGGGTTTTATTGTTCATTTGTGCATCTGAATGATGACTGATTTTTTCATTCTTTAATATTTATATTTTATATGAAATAAACATGAAACTAACGAATATTGGTGAGTTCCGGGAGTGCGAACTTGTTTGTAGGAAATTTATTCGTCTATAAGTTTTTTCATATTTTGGATATTTACAGTACTTCGCGAGATATTTGCAAAAAATTAAACCTGTGTTATTGTTTACTTATTTGTTTATGAATTTTGCATTGCTGTTGTGTAGAACTTCAAAGTTTCTAGGTGCTCTTCTAAATAGAACGACACCTAAATCATTATTTTCGGTGAAGTTGGACGCAAAATCATTGTAAAGGAACTTGTTGCTTGGATGAATGGAACCATATAAGACATTATTCAACTGACATCTAGTGTAATAAAATGTAATGAAATGTAATAATCAAACCTTGAAATGCTCCTCATAGATAGTAATTATTAAGCATTTATTATTATTTTCCACTTGCTTCTTTCTGATCACAATAAAATTAAGTTTAATTACTTACTAAGTTATATTGTTTTGCCTTTTTTTAGACGAGAGCTCAGATGATGAAGAAAATGAAGAAGTGATTGATTTACACGATGAAGTCGAAGAAGACGATAATGATGAAGAGATCATTCCGGCTGATAATATTGGCTATGATTCAGAAGAAAATGAAATTGAGTATATCAGTGACAAAGGTTTGTCTTCAAATTTCCATAGCACATATCCTAATATAATTGGATACTTTCAGGTAAACTGGCAGATTTTTTCGATAAAGAGGCCGAATTATCAGAATCAGAATGGGGAAGTGCTGATGAAGATGAAAAAGATTTGGATACAATGGAGTTTGAGCAGGGTGATATCGAAAAATTTGATGAAAAGAAAATTAGAAGTGATTTGGAAAAAATACATATGAGGAGAATGCTAGATGATGATACGAGAGAGGTTGAACATTTCCTTCTTCAAATTGAGCTAAATTCAATTTTATTTAAACAATTTTAGGTAAAATTGTTGCAAGAACTGCTATTGGAAGATGGTGAACTACATGGTACAGGTCGGGAGAGACAATTCAGGTGGAAAAATATAGATTCTGTGGATGATACTGAGGGTGGAAACAAAGAAGATAATGATGTATGTTATTTAGACGAAGAAGAAAGTGAGGAACAGTGGAGGAAGAAAAGACATGAAATAGAAATGTTTCTAAAGGAAAAACAGCTGAAGTCATCAATTTCAGATGAGTTTGATCTTCTAAGTGACAGTCAGAGCCAGTTATTGAAGACTGGTCACAAAGTTATACAAAATAGTTCCCAAGTAAGTGTTCCTGATAGTAAACCTACAGTTAAGTCGAACAGTCCAGATATTAAAAGCACTTTCAGCTTCATGGTAAGTTTTAAATATTTCAATTTTGAATGTAACTGTGAAGATTATTTTTTAGAATAAGCGTGGTTCCTTTCTCAGTCGTAATGACCAGGTGCTGCAGAGGTTAGCAGATTACAATAAACAAACGAATACTGCTGTCAATTCGGTGAAAAACTCAAGGAACTTTTTGTTTCAAACAGTAACTGGTGCAGAGACGACAGTAACTAGCGTGGTGAGTAATTCTGAAAAACAAAATTTTCTTTGGATTTATTTAGTAACAAATAGGTTCATCCCAATATATTATCATCAAAACAGTGGTGATTGGTAATACTATTTAAAATGCCAAATAAGGAGTTTCAGTTATTAACAAATGTCAAATTGTTGATAAATAACAGCTGAGCAATTTATTCTATGTTCATTCTACTCATTTAATCAACCGTTATGTGGAATGGTGGTTTGGGCTCTAGGGCTGGACTATCGATTTTCACTCATCTAACCCGTGCTAGGAATCGTACGTTAAAGTATGAGATCTTGGTAATCATTACCTCGCACAAGTTTTGACTTCTGAGTATTGTCGCGAATATGGAAGCGACAGCTGGTCAACCGAAAAACAGAATCAACAGATTTGTGTGGAGGCCCTTTATCCTCTATTCAAGAAGAAGGTTGTCGTTGGAGTTTCGCTCTCTAGAGTAGTTCACAACATTCGAGAGTATTCAAGAGTGGAATATTTGGTAACACCTCAAGTCATCATGGAACATAATACAACAGTCTCGAATGCTGTGGAATATTCTTGTCGACCATTCGGAGCATTTTTAAATGGTTTTATTTAGCTTGCTCTGTTTGTTTGCTTGTTTGGGTCAAATTTAGTAATTAGTTTTGACCTCCCTTCCTGTTGACAGATTGATCTGAAATTTGGACATTTAGTTTTAATGACAATACAATTTAATAAATTCTGTATCATTGTAAATCCAAGATGGCTGCAGCTATAAAAATTTCGTAGACTACACCTTACAATCTGATCTTCACAAATTTCATTTTCAAAAAATATATCATTTCTCTATTCTCTATCACAGTAGTTATTCGAAAAAGATGCAAATTCAAGATGGCCGCAGCTACTAAATGGCGGATTACATATTACCTTGTAATATTGAGGCACTAAATAAACAAGACAAATTATGAAAAATTGAGTAACAAAATTAGAAACTAAAAACTTTAAAATAAAATAAGTAACAAGAAATTATGTTAAGCGGTTTTATTGAAAAAAAAAAGATAATAATGATGCAGATAATTTACTAAAAACTAAAAAATAAATCGGAAGGACCTGGGTAGCAGTCATCACACCACTCTCCTCAGCAATCAGATAAAAAATAATAAAATCGTTGGGCGTATTTACATATTTACTAAGATTACGCTACTCCTAACGATTTTATTAGTTTTTATCTGATCAATACCGTAGATTGCTGAGGAGAGAGGTGTGATGACTGCTACCTAGGGCCTTAATAATTATTTTTTAGTTTTCATTACATTATCTACATAATTTTTTCCAATAAAACCGTATAAAAAAAGAAATACCTTTTTTGTAACTACCTATTGGTAGGGGCATACATATAAAGCAAGATCCGTCGACCTCTTATAATTTAAAATTTATCCTTTTATTCCAGCTACCATAACTACGATTCCTGGGCACATTTTTCAGGAAGGTTATTTGAGATACAAGCTATGACTGTGGAATAAGAATTTTTGAGTTTATTCACCATATCAAAGTATTCATATTCTGTTATGAACTGAAAAAAAAAACAGATGATGGAGCAATATCAATATTACTTTTCATAAAATCAAAGTCAGTATCACCATGTTGTGTGATTCTAATCAAATGTTTATTAAAGTTATTTGTCTTATCATTTTTAGGTATCTCATTATCACCTTCTCAGATCACAATTTCCATGCATTTGCTAATTGATTTTTGTATTTTATCAATTTTTGATTTATTAGTAGAGAGATTAATATCAGCATCATTGAATATTTTATTATTGATCTTCAAGTTTCCCTGTAAGTGTTAATTAACTGCTTGCTAAGCTCTTTATAGTCCTTATTTATTTTAGCACATTCAGAGTACAGAGATACTAAATTTTTTCAAGTAATTGAATTCTTTGGTCATTGAAGCTGAATTGCCAGTTTTTTCTGTTGATTACGTTTGACAGTGAAGCATACTTCAATACATTATCGGATAATTTGTTAAAAAACATAATAGGCTACATTCGGATAATTCTCAGTGTAAAAATCATTCTAACTCTCATTTACCAATAATGTTTTGAAAGTTAAAATATCATCTTCAAAATATTTTTGGGCAGTTTTCAGGAGTTTTAGTGAATGGAACAATAATAATCAGTGCATAATGATCAGATACATGAAAATCCTCAACTGTAACATTATATTCAGCCTCAAAGAAATTATCTAAGATTGTTTTAGAAGTAGGAGTTAGTCTAGTTTGGACAGCTATTGTACTCCTAAGATCAAAGGATGCCAATTAATCTTGAATGAGTTTCACATTCAAAATGCTTCCAGTGAAATCAATATTGAAGTCCCTACCTGTGATTATCTCTACATTACTTGTACCGATGAGTGCTAAGATACCATTTAGTGAATTTAAAAATACATTGAAATTTCCAGACGGTGGTCTATATCCATATATTTATTATATACCTAAATGATATTTATTATGTTCCTGGGCTACATGAACTTAATCTGTTTGCAGACGATACATTAGTTTATACTTCGAATACAAAACTGAATGATGCTGTAGATACTCTTAAAGGTTCTATGAAGAACATCGAAAAATATTTACATATGAATAAATTAAAATTGAATGCAGACAAAACAAAAGCTATGGTGATAACAACTAAATATAAACTGAACTCTATTGATTATAATGAAATAAAAGGGAATATTTGTCTGAAATAAAGTATCTGGGAGTTATTGTAGACAACACTTTGAGTTTGAACAGTCATGCTGAATACGTTATAAAAAAAATTCAAAAAAATTATTTAAAAATGTTTCGCTTTATCCAAGGTTTAGCAACTGAATAGTAACTAAATCTTCTGTAAAGATCAAAGGAAAAGTATATAATTTATTGAGTTACCTTGCTACCTTTATAACACGATAGCATTATTAGCGATTTCTAGGGATCGGCACGAGCAACAAAATTGTTGTTTTGGCAACTAATTAGCAACTATTTAGCTACAAATTGATGTACTTTTTTGCAATTTTGCTGGATTCGCCATGCTAGCCTGAAAGGGCTTCTATACGGTCAATTCGTTAGCCTGGATACTGTGTACTCCTGCAAAAATTTGGCTTTGTTCACATGCAAAAGCCCCACCATGTACTGATTATCAGTACCAGCCTAAATTGTTGTTAGATGCAACAGCAAAATGTTCTTTCAAAAAGACAGTAGGCGTATCTGGGTTAATCATCAGTTTAATAAACTGAACGGATAAAGATGATCGGTACACGAAGTCTCCGATGTACATAATTTATAGGGACTGGTATCTTAATTTATCGTGTTAAAATCCCTGTAAAGGCAATCAACACGACCATTCATCACACTGATGTCAGTGCTCGAGAATTGGATGTTATAATAAAAGTGAAAGTTATGTAATTCCTCTTCCTGCATCAACATACATTCGCGATGAAATATCTAGGTTATGCGTTTCTTTATTTTCCTTTCATGACTGCAGAATCTAAACTGCTATCGGTTTTGAAATAGAATACTGTTGTTTAGCGAGTGTCAATGAGAATTATGAGGGTGTTTTTGTATGCCACATTTATGTAGAAGTAGATGAAAAGTATTCCCTTCTATTATTGATTACTTTCAGGTTTGTTTGAGACTAGTAAATAAGGCAATATTATAAAATTAATTTAAGAATTTAAGACCCAGGTACCTAGAACAGGTATCTATGGTATAAATAAGGATAGCTTTGTAAGTATGGTTAGTTTAATCTTCCTCTTAAAGATGATTACTTGGTGATAAGGGTGAAAGTACCCAGCTTCAATTCAATGCCACAAAAACCCAGGAATTGGTTTTCTCCAAGAAGATGAATGTCTCCGAACCGGATATAATAATGTCAGGTCAGACAATTCCTCTTTCTGCTGCGATAACTTGGTTGGGGGTTAAAATGGACACCAACATGTCTTGCCATAATCATGTCGCTGGAATTGCAAAAGCTGCTTCTCAAAATCTTGGAACACTGTTCAGAACCAGAAAACTATACAAACCTCAGCAACTTTTGATGCTTTACAAAGCTCAGATCAGACCTTCTTGGGAGTATTTTTCTTGTGTATGGAGCTTTACCCCCAAACGTACCCTGAATTTGTTGAATTCCATCCATAAAAGAGCCATCCGCCTGATTGGAGACGCGAACATCACGTGTAACCATGATAGCCTGGAACATCGAAGAAAGGTTGGAGATTTGTCTCTCTCTTCTATAGATACTTTCACGGGAAGTGTTCAAGTGACTTGGCAGATTTGACTCTACCAAGAGCGGTACATATCAGAAATACGCGAGGGACTGTGGCTGCTCATTGTTTTGAGGTTCAACTCAGTACACCTTGAACTTCACTGTTCAAGAACTCTCTCATCTGGAGAACTGCGTTAATGTGGAATAAACTTCCTGAGATCGTTTTTTCAAATGGCACCGCTCTGAGAGCCCCTTAAGGGTTTTCCTGTAGTGCTTGTGTTTTGTCCTAAAAAAAATTTTCATATTTTGATTCCATGACATTCAAACACCCTCTCTAAGCATAAATCTTTCAAATCAATAATTTCGAATTCAAGTCCATTGTTATCATTTTCATAAATCACTGCACCACCATTTTTCATTTTACTTTTACAGTAAGAGGAGCAAACACTGTAAACATATAAAAAAGTGCAATATGTCGTGAATATTTGTGTTATCTCAAAGGGATTAAGGCAGCATTTTCGATGAAAGCTCACCCTGGTAGCACTACCGCCCCGACTTCTCACTGATAACATTGTCATATTTCAGCCAATTCACACAAACCATTAATATACTATACACATAAACCTTCCTGTCGAGTCACTCCGTCCATTGCTGAAAACTGAAAACACATTTAGACAGACAGAAATGTCGAGAGAATTCAAATTATAATATGTAGTGATACACTGCAAAATATTTTATAAGAGATGTTAAGACTTGCCAAATTAATCTATTTTGCCAAATACACTTATAGAACTCCATATCTCTTCATTATTCTGAATTATATTTAGAAATATTATTTGTTTCATTTCAGGAAAAGAAAAGAAAAGCAATTGGTGGTACGCCTAGGGTAATAAAAAAATTGAGGTTATCAGATAATATGAGCCCAGCTGTAGGTAGAAAGAAGAAAATAGATCAACCTTCTGCGAAAGCTAAGTTATTTGTCCAATGAAATGCTGCAAATGTATTAATATTTAGAATTTGTTTGTGTAAATAGAATGAGAAAACCTCATGGGAGACTGATCTTAAGTTGACATTAGATATTGAAATATTTATTGTATATTTGTAGATATTTTGAAGCTGTAATATATTTTCCGAGTTTTTAACTGTTTTTTTTTTGTCTTGAAATGAAACAATATTCTGTGTCAATGGCATATTTCTTCACTATGTTTAAATTTACCATAAGTAAAAGTGACTTACTGTAGGAAAAGTGATTATACTAACATTATCTTAGTAGTGTTTATTCATATGAAAAAATGAAGTTTCAGACATAGGAAAGTCAAGAAAAATATTTCAGAAACATTTCCACAATTTAATTAGCAGCCATATATTTTGCAAAGGATTAGTATAAGTATTAGTATACAGGGCTTTTCATGATGAGCGTTAATTAGCCGTTTCTCGCAAACTATTCAACGGATCAACCTGAAAATTTCACAGTATGCATAAGTCAATATGACCTACACCCTTAAAATATTTTAGACGAAGCGGCGTTGTCGCTTCTACTATAAAGTAGCGGCTTCTTTGATTTTTCAAATGGAACACCCCGTATATAATATCTATCTATTACCGTTTAGAAGATATAAATTAATTTCGATATTTTTTTTACCAAACATGAACTTTTATAAATGCTGATAATCTTGAACTCTTGCACTAAAACAATCAAATTTGGAATTGAGTGGAGTGATACTATGAGGATCTTCACTCCGAGTCATATTTTCATTTGCCTCATACAGGGTCTTCAAAAAATGCAGATACTTTGATATCTACTTGCAATTCTATTGCACTCACCATAAATTATTAATAAATTCAAGAATTCTTCATTACTGTAACCTAATCTTGACATTATTCTATTATAATTGGTAGCTATCACAATCAGTCAAAACCACCAACAAAAGTCTGACGTTCCAAAGCAAACAATTGAAAAATATTAATGTGTACTGTTGTACGTTAGAGACCAATACCTCAATGTATACAAATTGTAACTTTTTCTAAGATAGGTACATACCAATTTCGAATTGACTGATCTGAGACAGTTAAAAAACTGGATCAAAAAGAAATATTACTAAGTATAATAAAAAAGTGGAATATCCAAAATAAGCGATGAATTCAAAAAAACGAGCAAGAAAACCACGTCAGTTTCCGTTTGAAACAGTTTATCTCGAAAACGGTTCAAAATAGAATTAGTATTATCTGAATAAAGTTAATCTAAAATTGGATGTAGAGCTCAAAAATGTTGAAATATACAGGGTGTTCCATTTGAAAAAATTGAGTTCCACTCATTTTTTCATGAGATCAAAGTATATGCATTTTTTGAAGACCCTGTATGAGGCAAATGAAAATATGACTCGGAGTGAAGATCCTCATAGTATCACTCCACTTCATTTCAAATTTGGTCGTTTTAGTGCAAGAGAGTTCAAGATTCTCAGCATTTATAAAAGTTAATGTTTGGTAAAAAAAATATCGAAATTAATTTATATCTTCTAAACGGTGATAGATAGGTATAGGGAAATAGTATATGAATTTGTTGACAAAGTGACAATGAATCATAATATAATATTATATACGGGGTGTTCCATTTGAAAAATCAAAGAAGCCGCTACTTTATAGTAGAAGCGACAACGCCGCTTCGTCTAAAATATTTTAGGCGTGTAGGTCATATTGATTTATGCATACTGTGAAATTTTTAGGTTGATCCGTTGAATAGTTTGTCAGAAACGGCTAATTAACGCTCATCATGAAAAGCCCTGTATAGTATTAGTATATAGTATAAGAATTTCGGTTGAAAAAAACAGTACATAACATTGTTATAAGTGAATTCTTTTGCACCATTCCGAGGATGGTAGCCATTAACCACATCACCATTAGTGGAAGAAAAGCAAAGGGAATGTGGAAATGACATAATAGAAAAGTAGTTCTCTAGTATTGAAACAACTAGACCTACAAAAAATGAAAGAACAAGAGAGGAGATGAAAAGAACACAGGAGAAGAGAATAAGAAAAACTAGAAAGGAGATGAATGGACATGGAAAGAAAAAGTCTATTAAGATATGCTACTAAAACAAATTAATACAAATTGAAAATAAAGAAAAAAAAAGTTGAATCACTGAAACTTATTTCGCGACCATCGATTAGACAGTAGACTTTTATTGGTTAGCGTAAGTGGTTTGTTCTACTCATACAACTAACTGCTATGTAAACGTTGATTCGATCTGATCTTTCGAATGATGAATGTTCACTGGATATCTTCAGACCCGTGCTAGGATTTGCATGTCAAAAAGTAAGACTTCATTCATCTTTATTTTGACAAAACGACAGCTGGTTAATGAAAAAAAAACATTTCAACATTTTTCTTCGAACTAGAAGTACACAGCAGGCACGACCAAGATCAACAGAAGTAAATCAAACGGAATATTTCAAGAGCTTCAGGATGAAGTGCAGATTTTTAGCTGATGAGTAAGTACAGTTGAAAATTAAGTGACAAAGATCAAGGAAAGGTTGAACAAGTAATTGAATGTGTAGGTAAGCAAATTGAAGGACCAACTGAAGCACACCTGTACAGCCCACCAACCAGTCTCTGTTACAGAAATATCAACGAAAGGTTGAACAAGAAATTTGATACAATTTGTATAAGATTGAATATAATTAAATATACTTGATGACTTTTTTGGAACGTATATTTTGACAAGTAAACAAACTCGAATGTTTTTTAATAACAACTACAACCTAGTTATATACAGTGGGCTCATCCATCATAAAGGAACAGTCTTCATTCTGCAACACCCCCACTTGATGAGGAGCCCAATATAGACGTAGAAATCCCCAGGTGATATCTGCACCACTCATGTTTTCTTCTGTTGACTGCTTTTGCTAAAGAATCTGCAACCATTTTCTCGGTGGAAACTTTTGTGACGATAATTTTTTTTATTTCTGACAGCTTCTCTGACAAAATGGTGCTGAATATCAATATGTTTAGTTCTAGCATGATGAGAAGCATTTTTTGACAGATCTATTGCACTCTTGTTATCACAATATATGGTGATTTGATACTTTGTCTCAGTTAGTTGAATTTATTCAATAATTTGATGCAACCACTGATCTTCTTGTGTTGCATGAGAGAGCGCAACATACTCCGAATTTGAAAATATATCCACTGGTTGAATTCTTATCATCTCTGTCATCTGCATAATCAGCATCGAAATAACCATCTATTCTACTATCTTTACCGCTTGAATAAATAAGTTTCATATTTTTCGTACCTTGAAGATATCTAAAAATTCTTTTGAGAGCTGTCCAATGTTCTGGTCCTGGGTTTGAGTTAAATTTGCTCAGATCCCCCACTGCAAATGCTATATCAGGTCTAGTAGATTGAGCAGCATATAATAAAAGAATTATCAGAATCAGAATGGGGAAGTGCTGATGAAGATGAAAAAGATTTGGATACAATGGAGTTTGAGCAGGGTGATATCGAAAAATTTGATGAAAAGAAAATTAGAAGTGATTTGGAAAAAATACATATGAGGAGAATGCTAGATGATGATACGAGAGAGGTTGAACATTTCCTTCTTCAAATTGAGCTAAATTCAATTTTATTTAAACAATTTTAGGTAAAATTGTTGCAAGAACTGCTATTGGAAGATGGTGAACTACATGGTACAGGTCGGGAGAGACAATTCAGGTGGAAAAATATAGATTCTGTGGATGATACTGAGGGTGGAAACAAAGAAGATAATGATGTATGTTATTTAGACGAAGAAGAAAGTGAGGAACAGTGGAGGAAGAAAAGACATGAAATAGAAATGTTTCTAAAGGAAAAACAGCTGAAGTCATCAATTTCAGATGAGTTTGATCTTCTAAGTGACAGTCAGAGCCAGTTATTGAAGACTGGTCACAAAGTTATACAAAATAGTTCCCAAGTGAGTGTTCCTGATAGTAAATCTACAGTTAAGTCGAACAGTCCAGATATTAAAAGCACTTTCAGCTTCATGGTAAGTTTTAAATATTTCAATTTTGAATGTAACTGTGAAGATTATTTTTTAGAATAAGCGTGGTTCCTTTCTCAGTCGTAATGACCAGGTGCTGCAGAGGTTAGCAGATTACAATAAACAAACGAATACTGCTGTCAATTCGGTGAAAAACTCAAGGAACTTTTTGTTTCAAACAGTAACTGGTGCAGAGACGACAGTAACTAGCGTGGTGAGTAATTCTGAAAAACAAAATTTTCTTTGGATTTATTTAGTAACAAATAGGTTCATCCCAATATATTATCATCAAAACAGTGGTGATTGGTAATACTATTTAAAATGCCAAATAAGGAGTTTCAGTTATTAACAAATGTCAAATTGTTGATAAATAACAGCTGAGCAATTTATTCTGTAGCAGAACATATGTGCCTACATTTTTTGCTCTCATATTGTAACATCAGCTTGTCCATGAAGAAGGTCGTGCTTTTGAAGATATAGGGTATGGAAGTTTCTAGACGATTCCAGAAAATTCGAAACTGTTCAAAAGCCATCAACATAATTCTGTTACATTCTGGAATGTGATGGAATGTTCGAGAATTATCGTGTTGTGGTAGTCATTTATCCTCCATTCATGAAAAAAGTTCCCATGAAAAATGTTCGGAATATTCTGGAATATTCAAAAATAGAAAGAATGTGACCGGAAGAGTGGGAACAATGGGACGGTAGCTGGTTGGGTTGGCGCAAATTGTTCATTCTACTCATTTAATCAACCGTTCTGTGGAATGGTGGTTTGAGCTCTAGGGCTGGACTATCAATTTTCACTCATCTAACCCGTGCTAGGAATCGTACGTTAAAGTGTGTGACCTTGGTAATCACTACCTCGCAGAAGTTTTGACTTCTGAGTATTGTCGCGAATATGGAGGCGACAGCTGGTGAACCGAAAAACAGGTTTTAACAGATTTGGGTGGAAGCCCTTTATCCTTCATTCAAGAAGAAGGTTGCCGTTGGAGTTTTGCTCTCTAGAGTAGTTCACAACATTCGAGAGTATTCAAGAGCGGAATATTTGGTAACACCTTAAGTCATCATGGAACATAATACAACAGTCTCGAATGCTGTGGAATATTCTTGTCGACCATTCGGAGCATTTTTTAATGGTCTTATTTAGCTTGCTCTTTTTGTTTGCTTGTTTGGGTCAAATTAAGTAATTAGTTTTGACCTCCCTTCCTGTTGACATATTGATCTGAAATTTGGAACACACATTTAGTTTTAATGACAATACAATTTAATAAATTCTGTATCATTGTAAATCCAAGATGGCCG